CCTCTTCGGCAACGCGGAGCCGCTCCACCCGAAGGTCACCCGCGAGATCCACAAGTACCTCCGCCGCAACAAGACCGCGGCCAAGCGCCCCGGCCGCAGCGCCACGGTCTACGTGCCGATGCCGGCGATGATGACGTCACCATCGGTCGCGGCGGCCGCGGCGACTGCCACGTCGGCACAGCACTCGCCGGCGGGGTCGTCGTCGCCGGCGTCGCATTCGCCTTACTCGTCGACGTCGGCCGTCGGCCTGAGCTCGTCGGGCGGCATCGTGGGCGCCGGAGTTGGTTCTGGTGGGCTCGGAGTGAAAGACAAGCGATCGTCGCTGCCGGTGAGCGAGAAGGACCGGGAGCGGCTGCGCAAGCTCGAGGACGAGCTCGGCGCGATGGCGCGCGAGATGAAAGATAACAAGCGCGAGAAGAAGGCGCTCAAGGAGCTCAACGAGCTGCTCAAGCAGAAGATCACCGACCTCGTCGCCACGTCGTCCACGTCGTCGGCGTCGGCGGTGTCGACACCGCCCCCGTCGCCGTCGACGTCGGTCGCGGGGTTTCCGCCGTTCGGCGTGGACTCGAAGGAGGCTCGGCGGCGCTCTAAGGAAATCGAAAAGGAGGAAAAAGCCCACCGCAAGGCACGCACCGCACACACTCGCGCACACACCGCACGCACGCACGCACGCACACCGCACACGCACGCACACAACCGCACACACTGCATCGTGTGTTGATAGGAAGGGTTGATGGGCGGTTTTGGCTGCAGGCAGAGAAAGCGGCGCAGAAGAAGACGAAGCGCAACTCGACGACTGCGCCGCAGCCCGCGGGAGCGCCCGCAGCGCCTTCCAGTACGGGCACGCCCAAGCGGAGCCCGCGCGGCGTCAAGAATTTCTTCGCCTCCCTCGGATCCTCCGATGCCACCGTCGCCACCCGTACGCACGCGTCGTATCGTGTCGTGTTGCGTGTCGTGTCGTGTCGTGTGTCGTGTTGCGTGTCGTGTCATCTCATTGTTGTCTTGTCAATTGCAGAAAAGGGGCGCGAACGCGCGCACTCGCTCACGTTCGATGAGCCGCCGGCGCCCGTGCGCCCGGTGCCGCCGGGGTCGCCGTCGCAGACGATCGTCAATCCGCTGTCGGCCGACCGCTCGCTCGGGGCGTCGCACCTCTACGGCATGGCCTCGGTCTCTGCGCTCGGCTCGCTCGTCTCGGCGCGCGCAGGCGGCGGTGGAATCGGAGCTAAAGCCGTCGCCGGCGACTCAGGGACTCAGGGAGGAGCGGTCGGAGCTAAAAAGAAGGCGGTGATTGGGCGTTGCATCAGGCAGGTCAACATCGCCGGCGTCACCCCAGCCAAACCCAACGCCGGACAACCGGAGAGCGAGGACGAAGAACAGCAAACAACCGCGACGAAGGCGACCAAAACGAAAGCGAAGAAGACGAAAAGCGACAAAAAGAACGAAGACGAAAGCGAAGACAGGGGGGAGGCCGAGGTCGAACAGGAGGACGTCTATTGCAGCGCTTACGAGTGTCTGCTCGACGGATGGGGCTGCCAGATGAGGGAGCTCACAATGCCCATCGCGCTCCTCTCCAACACCATCCACTCGATCTCGTCGCCGCCCACCTCGCCCACAGCCCGGAGCGCCGAGGCCCGGCGAGCCGCCGTACGCCTCACCAAGCGCGGGCTCAACGTCTCCATCAATCCCCTCGGTACGCACGACACGACACGACACGCATGACACGACACGACACGACACGACACTCACTGATGAGGGTGATGATAGATGATCTGGAGAAAGAGATCATCAAGCTGGAGCAGCTGCCGCCACGACAATGTTGTGCGCTACCTGGCGCACGAGCGCTGCGGTCCGCATTTTGACACCCTTCGCGTCTACGTCACCCGGTATGCGCGCGTCGCGTGTGTCGCGTGTCACGTGTTGTGTCGCGTGTGTCGTGTGCTGACCCGTGTGTGCGCAGGCAAGAGACTTCGCTCGCTCATTTCCTGCGGGAGCGGAGGAAGCGGCGGGATCTGCTGAGCGAGTGGGAGGTCATCCAGATCGCCAACCAAATCCACGCCGCCGTCCACTTCCTCCACTCCAACGCGATCCTCCACCGAGGTACGCATCACCATCCACCTCTCCGTCACCATCCACGCGGCCTCTTACTTACCGTGCGTGTCGTGTCGTGTGTCACGTGTGCCGTGCGTGTCGCGTGTGCGTAGATCTGCGGCTGGACAACATCTTTTTGTGGGGCGAGCCATCGGATGGCCGGGTGGTGGTGGGAGGCTTCGACAGCATGGACGCCGCCGCCGCCGGTACGATCTCAAGCATCATCATCATCGGCTGATCTCCCACCACCCCATACGCGGCGCGCAAACGAGCTAACAATGCACTGTTGGCCGGGGGGGGGGGCTCGCAGCCGCCTATGAAATCAAGTCGTCGGATCCGTCCAACGGCAGCTTCCGCGCTCCGCATTTTGTGGTACTTCTCAGCACACTGTGTTGCGCGTGTGTCGTGTGTGTCGTGTGTGTCGCGTTGGTTGCAACACAAACGACCAACACCGCCGCGGCCACGCAGGCGCCCGAGCTGCTGAGCACGGCGCCCAACGCGCCTCTCGCCTACACCACCCAAACCGACGGTGACCTCCCGCTCCCCCCCCCGTGTCTCATATTTTCCCGCACACGCACGCCTTGCATGCTCGCGTCTCACCCACGTGATCGCACACGACACGACACGACACACAGTGTGGGCGTTCGGGATGGTCCTCTATTCTCTGCTGACCCTCCGCGTCCCCTTCGACGGCATGACATCGACGTACACTCGCCCCCCCCCTATCTCGCCCCATCTCGCCCTGGTCGCTCACCGCCTTTCTCTTCGCCCAACGACGCGGCAGGCAAGTGAAGGAGGCGGTGCTGGCCGGTCAGCGCCCGGAGCTGAAGTCCAAGGACCAGCTCGAGGCCGACAACGTGGTAGTCACCGCAGCGCCCGCCCCGCCGACGTCGCCCGCCGCCCCGTCAACGTCGCCCGCGAGGGACAGCAAGAGCCCCAGAAGGCGAGCGCGCAGCCCCAGGAAGAGAGCGAAGGAGAACGAAAACGAAGAAGCAGAAGTCGGAGTTGACAAGGCCAAGGCCGAGGAGGAGGCCTTGATCGGAGCGAAAAAGGAGGCGGAGGCGAAGAAGCGGAAGAGCGAGCGGACGAAGGCGCTGATGCGGTACGCCAAGCTGCAGGACCTGGTGCGCAACATGACCGCGCAGGACCCGGCCAGGCGCCCGACCCTCGACAAGGTCAAGCTCTACCTCTTCCTCTGCGAGAGCCTGTAATCAGCATCACCATCATAACAACGCATGTGCGTGCGTGTCGTGTCGTGTCATGCCGCCCGAGCAAGAGCCGGCACACATCACATTCCTGGCATTTTTCCTGCGTGTGTCGTGCGGAAAAGTGGAGGAAACGCGGCCTACACAAATCAACATCCTCAATCGCGATTGATTTCGATTGATTGACGCCGTTGAACGAGCCAGCACAGAAGAGATGTTCGGAGATCGAGGAGGTGGCGGTGGCAGAGGCGGCCGTGGCGGCGGCGGGGGCGGCAGAGGTGGCAGAGGCGGCCGTGGAGGTGGGAGGGGCGGTGGCGGCCGGGGAGGCGGACGAGGGGGCGGCAGGGGAGGCGGACGAGGAGGTGGTCGGGGGCGAGGAGGTGATCGAGGAAGGGGAGGCCGGGGAGGCGGGAACAGCGCTTATCTCACGATAAATGAAGGAGCGCCCATTCGGCGCCGCGAAAAGACCGAGATTAGATGGGACGAAGATGCTCGCAAGTACGTTCCCTACACGCATCGCCTCTGAACCTTCCCAAATCACTCTTCATTACGCCGATTTTGCCTCAAGCTTCTACTTCATTTCACAATTCAATTTTTGTAGCGCCTGATTAAATTTCTCATCGTCGTTCGCTTGCAGGGATTTCGTGACGGGTTTCCACAAGCGCAAGGTGCAACGGAGGAAGCAGGCCGAAAAGGAGGCCACCGAGAAGGAACGCCAGGCCCGCATCCAGCGCCGGAAGGAGGTACCACCCCTGCTCTACCTGGTCCCTGGCGCAACACACGCACCAGCACGCATGCATCACCGCACGCTATGGAGTGGAACGTCACTGACCTGATCCCTGCACACGCGCCCATCCATCAGCTGCGCGAGGCTGAGGCTCTTGCGGCCGGCGGCGATCTCCTCATGCACAAGGCTAAGCATCAGCAGGGACCGGGTACGCCACAACACGCACCGCTGCACACGCACCACCGCACACGCACACGCACGACACCGCCGCACACGCTGACTCGGGGGGGGGGTTGTGTGTAGGTGAGGATGAGTTTGATGAGAAGGAGAATGTCAAGGACCACTTCAAGCACCTGCTCTCTTCGGACGACCCGGCGCGCAAGCGAAAGAGGGAAGAGGGCGAGGAAGACGGCGAAGGCGGCGATGAGGACGATCTGGACGACGACGAGGACGACGACGACGATGAGGTTCGTGCGTGTGCGGTGGTGCGTGTGCGGTGGTGCGTGTGCAGCGGTGCGTGTTGTGGCGTACCCGGTCTGTAACTCATGGGTGGTACGTGCGCTACAGATGGAAGCGGCGGAGAGCGAGGAGGACGAGCGGGCGCTGAAGGAGACCTACGAGGGGGAGGAGACCGATACGGTCGTGACCGTCACCTCGCTCGCCCTCAACGGCGAAGACGACCCGTTCTTCAAAACCGAAAACGAAGACGACGACGAAGACGGCGAAAACGAAAACGACAATAACGAAGACGGCGATGAAGGCGAAGGCGAGGAGGACGGCGAGGGCGAGGGCCACCACAACCACGTCGGCGCCAGGGTAAGTTCTCCCCTGCGTGTGCGTGTGCGTGTGCGTGTGCGTGTGCGTGTGCGTGTGCGTGTGCGTGCGCGTGCGCGTGTAGTGCTGATGAGGCGTGTGATCTGCCCCCCCCCACTAGACGTCAGGAGGCGGCGGCAAGAAGTCGTCGTCGGCGGTGTCGAAGAAGAAGGCGTACAAGCCGCCGCCGAAGAAGGCCAAGAAGATGCAGGGGCGGTACTCCTTCACTAAGGCCAAGAAGGCCCGCAGCAAGCGACGTGCCAACAACAAGCTCCCCGGCGCCATGAAGTCCAAGAAGCAGCGAGGCGGCTCGCGCTGAGGCTGCATGTCGGTTACTCTGAGGATTGGCAAAGAACGAACAATGCCTTCTTTCATCTTTTCAGCACCAGATGTGGGCTTCACTGCACCAACAGAAGTAGCAAACAACTTTCTTCTCGTTTTGTATTTCAGGTAGTGCGAAAGAGAGCAGTTCACCAACAGACTGCCCACTCAGTGAAGATGTATGCCCTGCCCACCCAAACCGCCAGCCCACCACATGAAGTGGCAGGCACCGTCCTCTCCATCCGTGGAAGCCGTACGCCCCACTTGCTCCTTCTTTTCAATTAATTATTTTTTTCATCATAAAATATTACTTTTTAGTTATTTTTTTGCCCACAATTTTTTTGTTGGCAGAGGTCCGGGCCGAGGGCCTGGTGGGTGTGGCGCTGGACGAGCTGGTGCGCGTGGGCCGCCAGGGCATCTGGGGCGAGGTCGTACAGCTCGAGACCGACAAGACTCGCCACGGCGGCGCCGCAGTCGCCGTCATCGAGGCCTTCGAGGAGACCGCCGGCATCGCCGTGGGCGACCCCGTCGCCCGCACCGGCCGCCCGCTGTTCGTCGAGCTCGGCCCGGGCCTGCTCGGAAGCGTGTTCGATGGCCTCCAGCGCCCGCTCGACGCCGTCAGAGACCACCAGCAGCCCGAGCCACAACAACAACGCGCCGATGATGGCCGGGCCGCCAGCAACTGGGGCCTTTGTGCCGCGCGGCCTCAATCTGCCGGCGCTCAACCGCGACTTGAGGTGGTGGTTCGAACCGACGGGCGACTTTAGGGTGGGCGACGCCATCGCCGCCGGCGACCTCTACGCCACCGTGCAGGAGAACGCGCTCTTCACCCACCGCATCGCGCTGCCGCCCGACGCGCCCGGCGGTCGCATCGCCTTCATGGCCCAGCCCGACGCCTACACCGTCACCGACGTCGTGCTCGAAGTGGTCGACATTAATGCCCGGCGGCACCAGTACACGATGATGCAGACGTGGCCCGTGCGCCGGCGCCGGCCGACCGAGGCGCGCCGTCGGCCCGAGCGCCCGTTCTTGACCGGCCTGCGCTGCCTCGACGCCCTCTTCCCGTGCGCCGTGGGCGGCACCGCAGCGCTGGCCGGCGGCGTGCGGTGGTTCACGTCTAACGTGACCTTCTCCATGGCCCGCCACGCGCGGGCCGACGTGAGCGTATACGTCGGGTGCGGCCAGCGCGGGAACGACCTGGGCGAGACCCTTATGGAGCTGCCCGAGATGACCATCTTCGACTCCCAGTCGGGCCGGCACGAAGCGGTGATGAAGCGCACGATTGTTGTGGCCAACCCGGCCAACGCGCCGCCCGCCGCGCGCGAGGCGTCGGTCCACACGGGCCTGGCCATCGCCGAGTACCTGCGCGACCAGGGCTGCGACGTGGCGCTCACCGTCGACTCGCTCTGTCGGTGGTCGCACGCGATTGGCAGCAGTACACGTCAGCAGCAACAGCCTCAACTGGGACATTGGGACCGCGACGGCGTCGGTCGACAGCAATTGGAGGGGCAGCTGGGCGCCATGTACGAGCGGGCCGGGCGGTTCGTGTGCGCGGGCGCACCAGCGCGCGAGGGCACCATCACGCTGGTCGCGATCACGGCGGACTCAGGATTGTCGAGACCCGGCGGCGGGGCCTGGGCCGATGTCGACACGATCACGGAGGCGGCCAAGGCCGTGGCCCAGACCGTCTGGGCCGCCGACCGGTCCACCCCGTTCATGTCCATCGACTGGCGCCAGTCGCGGTCAAACCTGTTCTTCGGCGCGTTGACCGGCGAAGACCACGACAACTACTACCGTCGACACATCGCCGACGACTTTGTCGAGCTGCGCCGGGCGTGCCTGGACCTGCTTCGGGCCGAGGCCGACCTGGCCCCCCGCGTGGCCCAGGTCGGGCGCGACGGCCTGACCGAGCCCGAGCAGGTGACCCTCTACGCCGCCCGCCTGGTCCGCGAGGATTTTCTGCACCAGAATTTCTTTTCATCGGCCGAGGCCCGGTGTTCGCTCTACAAGGCGGCCTGGATGATGCGCAACATGGTCCTGCTGCGCTCGCTGGCCCAGGCCACGCTGGCGGCCAACGCAAACAAGAACAAGAACAAGAACAAGAACGAGAACGAGATGAAGATGATGAAGATGAAGAAGTACACGACGTGGCGGGAGCTGCGTGAGGCCGTGGGCGACCTGCTCTACCGGGCCAGCACGGCCAAGTACGAGGAGTTCGACGATGGGCACAAGTTCGTTGAGTTGGGCGCGGAGCTGCGCGAGGCCTTCGCCGGTCTGGGCTGCCCTATCTTCCTGCCCTCAGTGTAATTTCTTTTTTATTTACTATTTATTTGTTTATTTGTGTTTTGTTTTATCTGTTTATTTATTTCCACCAAGTAAAGATGGAGTTAAAGTTACACTTCAGGCAGTGTTCGCTGTCGGACTTGGATCGCTTGGACGTCCTCGAGACCGCGTGTATTGACATCTTCTCTTGGATCTGCAATTTAATTTTACAAATCTAATTGATCTTTATGGCGTACATACAGCCTATCCGGAGGACGAGGCGGCGTCCAGGGAGAAGCTGGCGTTCCGACTCACCCACGCCGCACCCTACTTCCGCTGCGCCACCACCGCACAGGTGCTTGTTCCACTCCCTTCCTCCACTCCAACTCACCACCTTTCTTTTTCTTTTTCTCTTTTCTCTTTCACAAGAACGGCGAGGAGCAGGTCGTCGGGTTCGTGTGCGGCACTCTGGCCGTGGGCCAGACCCTCACCCACAGTTCCATGTCCCAACACACGCCCGAGGGCTGTACGTTGTCGTCTTCTTCTTGTCTAGCTTCAGTGTGCGTGTGCGTGTGCGTGTCGTGTGTACACGTGCTGACCTGTGCTTACTGTGTGCCGTGTGTGTGTCATGTGTGTAGCGACTCTGTGCATCCACTCGGTGGTGGTCGACGAGCGGTGCCGCGGGAACAAGGTGGGCACGCGCATGCTGAAGGAATACATGCACCACGTCGCCAGCCACCAGGCCAACGTCGAGCTGGTGCTCCTCCTGTGCAAGGCCAACCTCAAGCCCTTCTACGGCTCTTGCGGTACCATTCCACCCCCCAAAGCACACTGGGCAGTGCTCGTTCGCTGGAACACCGCAAGTTGACCAGCTGCGCGCCCGCCCGTCGCAGGTTTTGAGGAGGTGGCCGAGAGTGGTGTGGTGCACGGCCAGGAAAAGTGGTTCGAGATGAAGCATGTGCCGCGGCGGCAGTGACCAACCACTGCTTTTTTACACATAAAAGGCGCCTATCTGATTGGTGAACTGCTTTTATCTTCTTTTATTCGTTGGCGAATCAAAAGACGCCCTTGGCCGCCAGGAATGGGAATACTGTGGCGTTCAGGCCTGCAACTGTTACCTCCTGTGCAACCACCGGGTCGCGCCCGGGCGTTGCCGTGCACTCAACACCACCAGGACAGCCGACGCAGTAGCGGAGGAGGTTGGCGTGGTGGAACGTATCGACATTCGACGCCGGGAAATCGTCGCCGCTGGCCTCGAACACCCGCCGCAGCGGGTAGACCGCGTTGGCGGGCACGGCGACGAGTCGGGCGAGCCACTGGTGGTAGGGCACCACCGCCACCCGCTGCTGGCCTCGCTCCCCGGCCCAGGCCACCAGCGCCGCAATCACCTCCGCCACGGCCGGCGACCGCAGCGGATTGATCACGTTGACCGCAATCACCTCCGCATCAGACGCCGACGCCGACGCCGACGTTGACGCCGGCAACGCCGATTCCGACGGCTCGGATGCCGACGCCGACGCCGACGCCGATACGGCAGCGGCGGCGAGTGAGGTAGAGACGAGGGAGGAGAGAAGCTGGCGAGGCGGAGTGGTGAGGTGGTCGCGGCGTGCGGCGAGGGAGATGTGGACGATTGCCCGGCTGACAAAGTCGACCGGCGCCAGGTTGTGCCGATTGTCGGGCGACACCTGGGGCGCGCTGCCCAGCTGCAGCATGCCCTTCAGGGCAAGCACCTGTTATTGTCGACAAACCAGTTAAATTCCTGGCGTGTTGCATGGGAACATTCAAGGAAAAGCAAAAAGAAATTGGCGTGCAACGAACCAGGAAGTCGTGGGGATTGGAGTAGCCGGTCTGGGAGTGAGCCCACACGCGGCCAGGGCGGAAGACCAGCGCGTAGAGGCCGCGCCGGCGCGCCTCCCTCACCTTGTTCTCACTCACCCACTTCGACTGCGCGTACCCTCCCGCCTGCCCATCGTGTTGCGGTGAGTGTCGTGTGTGTCGCGTGTGTCGCGTGTGTCGTGCGTGTCGTGTGTGTCGTGTGTGTCACCTTATCGAGGAAGAGGTCGGGCACGGGGTCGTCCTCGCGGAGCGTGCGTGCCATCGGCCCGGGTGCGGACAGGACGCCGATGGTGGACACGTAGTAAAACGCCACCGCCTTCCTCTCATTCATGCACGCCATCCGCAGCAGCCTACCCATTTGACAATTAAATATAAATTAAATATAAATAATAATATTTATTGCTCATACTAAGACTTCTCCACTATTTAATATTTAATTCTATTTTGTTATTTATTTATTCTATTTTATTGAATGTTGGGAATTCGTACCATTCGGTGCTGTCGACGTTTTCTTGCTTGAGGGCCGAGTAGGGCAGCACGCTGTTGACGACGGCCCCGTTGTGGTAGATGGCGTCGACGCCGCTGGCCAGCTCCGCGAACTGCTCCTCGGCCAGCCCCAGACGCTCGCGCGACAGATCCCCGCACACCACCTTCACCCGGTCCCACTCATCACCATCCCGCTCCTCGCCTACACGCGCGCGTGCCGTGAGTGTCATGTCGTGTCGTGCAGCGTGTGTGTTATGTGCGTGTCGTGTCGTACCTGGGGGCAAGGCGTCTTCGAGAACGCGCAGCAATCGTGCGCGTGCGGTCTGTGGGTCGTCGCCGCGTACGAGGCAGTGGATGGTGGCCGTGGTCTGCTTGAGGAGCTCCAACAGCAGAAACACGCCCAGGAAGCCCGTCGCGCCAGTCAGCAGGACCGCCTCAGGCCACTCCGCTTCGCCCGCGGCCAGCCCACCCTAGGCCTGATCTCCGGGTCTGTCGACGACTTGCCACGTCAGCAGAACACGACACGCACACGACACACGACACGCGACACGACACACGCGCAGTACAGTACCGAGAGCGCATTCTTTGGCCCAATCGACGGCGAGTTCGGGCGGGGCTTCGGAAGTGGCGCCCTTGGTCATCATCTCGGCGAGGTCGGCCACGGTCAGGTTCTCTTGGAACAGCGCCTGCACGCTCATCTCCACTGGATTCGACACGGCGCGGAGTGAGTGTCGCGCAATGACAGCGCGCGCGTGTGCGGTGTGTGTCGTGTGTGTGTGTGTGTGTGTCGGATGGGGTTGAGTACCTTGGTACTGGTCCTTGAGCTGAGAGACCAGGCGGACTGCGGTGAGGGAGTCCATGCCCAGGTTGCGCAGCGTGAGCGCCTTGCCCTCTTGCGTCAGCTTTTCCGCATTCTCTGTCATGTCCCCTGCAACGTCTCTATTGCCTCAGCACGCGGCACCTCACACGCCACGACACGACACGACACACTCCACTACATGCACGACGCACACGACACATGCAACACGACACGACACCACGACACGACACACACGACACAAGACACGACACGATACATGGAATAGAGAGTACCGAGCATGGAGAGCAAGGTCTGTTGCATGACGATGGGATCGTCCAACTCGTCGTAGAGCTGGTCCATGATGGAGGCGTACTTGTCGTTCAGCGCCTGCCGCTTCAGCTTCTGCGGTCCTGCATGGTTGGACACGCACCACACGAAACACACGAAACACACGACACACGACATGAAGCGACACAACACACACGACACACGACACACGACACGACACGACGCACATGACACACGCACCACACGACGCGACACGACACACACATAGATAGGCGATGAGTGCGTGGAATGCAAAAAATGTGGGCAGGCGAGGGAAGGAAACCCGTGAGGAGTCCGTTGTCGATGGTGAACTGCTCCGTCTCGAGGTGGACGCCTCGCACGAACTCGAACGACTGGATTCCCGCCTTGGCCCCGATTCGGTACAACTCGTGCACCACATACCTTTCCCGATTGCAGTTGCCATGTCAGCATTGCATATATGAGTGTGTGTCGTGTGTGCTGTGTGTCGTGTGTGCGGTGTGTGTCTTGCGAACCGTTTGACGGCGGGATGTGCGCATAGAGCGGGAGGGTCGTCGAGCGCCGCGTCCAGCGAGGCGTCCGCTTTGCTCTGCGCCCACGCTCGCACCAGCGGGAAGTTGGGCACCTATGGGCATGCGCGGAAAATGAAATAAAAGTTTAAGCAACCAACCAACCAACGCGCGCGTCGCCATGTTGTGTCAGAGGGAGGGAGGTGGCTGCGACGTACGACGACAGCGGTGAGGTACTCCTTCAGCGGGGTGCCGTAGACGAAGACCTGGTCGACGATGGCGCACTCCTGGTAGATGCACTCCAGCTTCTCCGGCGCCACGAATTCGCCTGCGTTTGTCGTTGGACCGCACACCCCATTCATCTCCGCTCAGTCAGAACACCCAACAACGACAAAGGTGACGTGACCACACATGACACACACGACACGCACACGACACACCGAAAGGAAGGAAGGAAGGCACACCTTGGGCGAGCTTGAAGATGTTTTTCTTGCGATCAATCACGGTGATGCGCGTTCCATTCATCTCGCCGATGTCGCCCTGTAGTGGGAGGCGCATTGTGAGCGACGTGTGACAAGCTTGTTGTGTGTTTGCGTTGTTGGAATTCCATTCTAGATAGGTGGTAGGTACCGTCCGGAACCAGCCGTCGTCGGTGAAGGCGGCTGACGTGGCATCGGGGTCCTTGTAGTAGCCCTGGGCCATCGTTTTCGTCCGCACATAGATCTCACCCCTGCATACCGAACACACACTAAATTAGTCTCGGATATAAATATGTTGATATATTTTGTAATTATATTTCTACAACAACAAAAGAACGAAAACGAAAACGAAGCCGAGGAGGGAATACCTGGGGAAGGGCTTGTCGGTGGCGAAGTAGCCCATTTCGGGCACGTCCACGAGTTTGACCTCCGCGGCGTTCGACACGCGGTGGTCGTGCGAAATGGCACCCACCTGTCCCTCCCCCGCTCCTTCTTAGTCTGTGCGTGTCGTGCGTGTCGTGTGTGTCGTGCGTTCACGTCACCTCCGTTGAGCCGTAGCCATCCGAGACCATGGAGCGGTGGAAGCACCGCTGGATGAACCTCAGCACCGCTGGTGCCGTGGGCGCGCCTCCAGACACCACATACGCCACCCTGCCTGCTCTCCCTCGATCAGTGCTCCGCACAGGTGTGTCGTGTGCTATGCGTGTCGTGTCGTGCGTGTGTCTCTTTGGTCGTGTGCGTACCACCGAGCGTCTTCTCGTATTTGTCGAGGAGAGGCAATTCGATGGCCTTGAGTTCGTCGGCAGTCAGCTCGCGAGGCTCGCCGCCGCCGAGCTCGGCCTCCTTGCGCTTCCGCTCCGCCGCGAGCTCCTCCTGGTAGCGGCTGTAGAGGATGTTCCACAACCGCGGGGTCGATGCGAACATGGTCGGCCGCACCAGCAAAATATCTGCACACGCCGCACACCACATACGTCGCACACGCATACACGCACACATATATGGCACATGGTAACCATGCGAATATGTCGACATTTAAATGACATATGTACCATCGAAAATGCGGGACATGTCGCTCTCGAAGATGCCGACCCGGCCGCCTTGGACCAGCGTGAAGGCCACGTTCTTTCGGTCGAACATGTGCGCCATCGGCGAGAACGAGAACACCACTATATAGTCCAATCCACATTACACGAGCACGTCAAACTCATTCGTCGTGCGTGTGTCGTGCGTGTGGTGTCGTATCATGTCGTGTGTCGTGTAGTTCGTACCGAGTGGATCGTGGGAGATGGTGCCTTTGGTGAGCATCGAGTTCCAGCCCGCGTAGGAAATCATCACACCCTTGGGTCTCTGTCACATAGTGGTCAGTTGACACGACACACGGCAACACTACACACAACACTACGGCGCACAAGACGGGCCTCTTACCCCGGTGCTGCCGCTGGTGTACATGAGCGTGTAAAGATCGGCCGGCTTCCGGCGCACCAGCCGAAACTCGCGCTCGCTGCGGCGTAGATTGGCGCCCGATCGCTCCAGCTCCGCGAAGGAGAGCAGTCGCAGGCCCTGCGTACGACATGGCACCCAGCCATTGGGATGAGCTGGTGTGCGTGTCGTGTGTGTCGTGTCGTGTCGTGTGTGTATGTCGAGTGTATCATGTGCTCTGTATACAAGGGATTTGGCTCTTTCGAGGTGGTCGGTGGTGGGGTCCTCCATGGAGACGATGAGCTTGAGCGAGGGACAAGTAGCACTTAGCTCCAGCATTTCGTGCAGCACCTCGAATCGGCTGTCATCATCGCCTTCGTCATCGTCGCTCCTGTGCGCGCGTGGGCCGCCGACCACCAGCACAGAAATGTTGGCGTTGTTGATGATGTACTCCTGTTGATACAGGCTCGCGAATGTCAGCGCACACAACGCGCGTGTGCTGTGTGTGCGTGTGTGTGTGTGCGTGCGCACGCGCACCTTTTGAGAGGACTCAAAGGGGACGTGAAGGGGCACGGTCACGTAGCCCAGGAAGAGCGTCGCGAAGTCGGCCACGATCCACTCCATACGATTCAGGGAACACAACCCGATCGCGGGCTGCTCGCCTTCCCCGTCGATCGCCTCTTCCGCCTCATCCTTCTCTTCTCCCTTCTCCTTACCGCCCTTCGTCTTCGCTTTCGCTTTCTCGCTCTTCTTCTCTTTCACTTTCGCTTTCTTCGTTTTTTGTTTCTTGTCTTCGTTTTCTTTGGGTGACGTGGCATCGCCGCCGGCGGTCGACAACAAGTGGCGTACGCCCAGCTCGGCCTCCATGACTTGCCGCAGGCCGCGACTGAAGTCCCGCACCCGATCGTGAATCTCGCCATAGGTGAAGTAGTGGTAGGAGGCAGCGCCACGAGAAGACAACGAAGGTGATGATGATGATGATGATGATGAAGGCGATGATGAAGAAGACGACGACGATGATTGACGCGTTCGTTTAACGCCGAGATACGGGCGGGAGGCGTAGTGGGTGAAGGCGTTGTTGATGGTGTCGGCCACGTGTGGCGCCTTAATGAGCTCCCTCAGCTGAATCCTGTGTAGCGTCTGCGAAGCCACTGAGCGATTGCCCGCGTGCGTGCGGCGGCAAGTGCGTGCGGTACCTCAAGGTGCATTGGATGACCGTCGTGCGTGGGTCCGCGAGCGGCGTAGCAGCTTTCACACAGATCATACCCCGCACATTCCCAACTGCACCAACAATTTCATATAAAAAAATGACTTTAATAAATGATAAATTCTATCAAAAATAAAAAAATGAAACGAACCAGTGATATCGCGGGGAAGGAGGCACGATGCGCCCCGAGCACCAATTGCACTATGGGGAAGGGGGCGGTGAGGAGCCAAAGCGGAAGAAGCGAAAAAGGGGGAGAGGCATACTATAAAGCCGTAGCGACTGGCATCTTCGAATGTGTTGGCTTCCTTGTTGGGCTTCTTGCCGCGGCCGCACGCCTGGGCGACCTTGCCCTTGACCAGCTCAAACAGGCTCATTAGTAATAATATTATCGATTTTTTTCAATTTTGTGATTTTCCTGTTTTCCTTTAAAAAATTGTAAAGGAAAGAAGGAAATCTTTGCCGATCAACAAATAAATCACATATTTGATTAAATTGACATATGGGTAATCAGCCGCTGGGCCAGCTCCAGCTCCAGGCGTTCCTTCCTCTGCTTCTGCTTTTCTTTTCCCCTCTTTTTTGCCGCTCTCTTCTACTTCCTCGGCTGTGACAGGGAAGGAGTCGCTCTGTAGCACGGCACTGATCAGCGTCAGCAGAGTCTGCACCTCGAGCTCATATTCTGAGCACTCGGTGCCGCCAGCGCACTCCGGATGATGGTGGTGGTCCTGTTCTTTCGTGGTGCCGTCGGACGGCGGCAGCTCCAGCAGCTGGCCCACGACCTGGAGCAGGCTCCGCCCGGTGTCGGAGACCTCCACTTGGCCAACCCCCACCACGCGGTACAGCTCGTGGTGGTGGTTGAGGTGGGTCTCGGGGGAGTCGGAATCCGGATGGGACTGAGACTGGGCGTCGGAGTCGGAGTCGGAGTCGGAATAGGGATTCCTGCCCAGTTTGTCGGCGATTTTCTCCTGGAGTTTGGAACCGACGACGTCGACTGCGAGCCGCTTGAGCCCTCGGCCGAATCCAGTGCGCTCGTCGCAGTGGAAGACGAGGCAGTCACCGCCAGACCCCACGCGGACGAGGAACCTCACGCTGAAGCTGTCCATCTGCTTGTCGCGTGCACACGGCAACCGGAAGCCGAACTCGCTGCCGCTGATGAACGAGATCCGATCGAACAGCTGTCATTCCACCCAACAACTTGTGAGTATGTAGGAATTGATTTGTTACAGGCGACTCGTATGAGAACGAAACCAAAAGGGCGGGAAGACAACGCACATGAGAGCCATCGGCTGGGCGAAGGTCGATACCGTGGTCGGCTTCCAAATTGAGGGCCGTCTTGAGGGCAGCGGGCAGCATGGCGAGCCTCCGCTGGCCGAAGAAGCGGCGGATGGCCCGCGTCACGAACTCCCACCTCCGACACTTGGCAACCAGCGACCCCTGACACCGAGAAGCCAAACAGCCACACCACTCAGAGCTCCCCACAATGCACGACACAGCAGTACACGACATACGCACGACATGTCACACGATGTGATGTACCTCGCAATACTCCTGATTCTGAACGGCAGTGGCAAAGTAGGCGTCCGTATTCCGGAGGAGCTCAAGTACTGGCGGTGTCTCGAGCCTGTGGTTGCGAAGCACAGCGCTCAAGACGGCGGCCTTCCGGGCTACCAGGAACTCAATGTCTTCGTCGTCGTTCATCTCGTCGTCCGAGTTGTCCGATGCAGCTTCCTCGAAGGTGCGCTCCACGTCGGGCTTCCAGGCCAGGCCCAGACACGCGTAGAGCAGCACCAGCACCTCGCACACCGACCACTTCGTCTCGTTTTCCTCCTTCTTCTTCGAGTCATTCGCCCTCCGCTCGAGCACCTTCTTGGTGCTCCACCGGTCGGCTTCGCCGCTTCTGCTCTCGCTCGCCACTGTCTCGCCGAACCCGAGCGCCGACCACAGCTTGAGGAGCGTGTCGTCTTCGATCACGCACCGCTGCCCACCCACAGAGCAGGTCAGCTCCAAGTTGAGCCGGTCGTCAGCCTTGGTGTTCTTCTTCTGCTGGGGGGGCTCAAGGCCTAGCAGACGGATCCACTCGAGCGAGCGGGTGCCGAGGCTCAGCCCAACAACCTGCCCCCACCCGGACGGCCTCGCGTCCCACTGGCAGCTGGCTGGATCCTCGACGGACTCAGCTCCGGCGACGTACAGAAAGAGCTGCACCACCTCTGGGGGAACCCAAACAGTGTCAACAACGAAAGCGAAAGCGAAAGCGAAAGCGAAAGGAAAGCGAAGCAGTACCTTGAGGCTTGCCAGGCAGGGAGAGTGACAGGACGGATTCGGTGTGCAGGCCGGCCTGCTCGCCGAAGAAGGCGCTCGCGTGCTCGAAGTGCTCTAGGCGCAGACGCGCACGCTGGTGCTCCTCCTTCGGCTCCTCTTCCGCCAGGTCGAGCACTGCATCGATCTCGGCCTTCTTCCCCGCTGGAAGCTCCCATTCGTCGCATACGTAGGCCAGCACCTCCTTCAGCCTGAATGTCATTCACAATCCGAAGCAACATGGTTTAGCTCCGAATGCCGACCGCACACAGCACACGACACACAACACACGCCACACACCTGAGCTGGTGCAAGTGCGCGTTCGCGCGGCCTGTTGACAAGCTCTCGACCGCACGCTCGCGGCCGCGGGGCGTGTCAGTGATCAAGTCCGCCAGGGGCGGTTCAGGAAACTGGGCCTGGAGACACTGGTCGACCTTCCACAGCACATCCATGGGCAGCTGCACCGCGGCATCGACCGCGCTCTGCATGCGGCGACACGTGAGCCGGAGCGCCAGAAGGTCCCTGATCGAGCCAGCGCGCTCGTCGCCATCAAACCTGTGTGTGCTCGCGCGCGAGGACGGTTGTGAGTGTGTGCGGTCGGGAGTGTGTGAGTGTCGTGCTGTCGAAAAGTCGGGAGGCCGAGGCTATACGGGAGGGTGAGCATGAATCGTGTTTCTTCTTCTTCGCTCCGCTCTTCTTCGCTTTCACGCTGCCGCTCGTTCTCGGTTTCGGAGCCGCCCGTGTACTCGTCCTCCTTGAGGAAAGGCGCGTGACGAGCACGCACGCGGCACACCGACGGCACTTGCGCTGCTTCCACCACTTCACCAGCCGCACGAGCAGCTGCACATATGCAACGTCAAATGTCGGAGGTGTCAGCCATGCAACATCAAGTGCAACTTTTCTTGCTAATATTGAAAACAGTAAAAGCTAGCGACGCACCCGTGCGGAAGCCGTGCGGCGGCGGGGCTGATGGGGCGGTGCCGGAGAGGAAACCGTGTTGAGGGGTGAGGTAGTCCAGGAGGCGGCGCAGGGCAAGGTCCGGCAGTCCGCTCAACAGATCCCACGACTCCTGCGTCTCACCTTCGCCGCTGGCTTCCGAGGAGTGGGTCAGGAGGTCGTTGGTCTCTTCCACGGTGGGGGTGTCGGTCTTCTTCATCGTCAGCGGTAAGAGCTTGTGGTGGGGTGTAGAAAAGAAAAAACAAGGTCCGGTGCTTTCGGAGTTGTTGTTCGCGAATAAGTGGACAAGATTTTCATCAGCGGAGAGGGAGTGTTGTTGCTGTAAGAGAGTGATCCCACAACTGCCGCTAATCAAAAACAATAATAACTAAAAACATGCGGGGAGAGAATCAGAGGACGGCAGAGGTGCTCTGGAGGATGACGAGGCCGAGGGCGACGACGAGGAGCGTGGTGGGGAAGCCGAACTTGAGGTACTGGAGGAACGTGAGGTGCCGCGTCGTGTTGAGCTCCGCCACGATGATGTTGGCCGCCGACCCCAGCAGCGTGAGGTTGCCCGCCACCGTACTCACCCACGCCACCACCACCCACACGTACTCCTGAACGTACCGCACGTCGTGGCCCACAGTCAGCGCCCGGCACACGCAACGACACGACACGACACGCGTACTTGTTCGTGAGGGTCGGACATGGCGAGGATGTCGGGTGCCATGAGGAGGATGAGGGGCACGTTGCTGACGATGTTGGAGAGGATGAGCACGGCGACGGTGAGTTTCAGCAGCGGCCCGATGGCCGTGAAGTCGGCGTCGGCGCCGATGAAGCCCGACCACAGCTGGGCCGTGATCTCGGTCTTGCCAAAGGTCACCATCACGATGAACGTCCCCGCGAACCATCCTATGAGGTTCCAGTCCACCTGTAACACGACACACGCGACACACACGACACGCACGCACGCACACGACACGCACGACACACGCACATAAACGCGAATGGTTGGTGCCTGTAGAGTTAAGAGGCCCGTGAAGCGGAGTGAATTACTCACCTCTTTGAAGACCCAGCTGGGCGAAGTCTGAGTGACGATTCCCTCGATGGCCATCGCGACGAGGGCCACGCCCGCCGTACTCCAGCCCACATTGCACCCTTCACCATCCGATTCCAGTCAGTCATTGCGCAGGTGCGGTGGCGCGGTGGTGTGCGGTGGCGCGGTGGCGTTGTACCCAGGAGGAAGAGGATCATCATGACCACGAGCGAGAAGGAGAGGGCGATGCCGAGCCTACCGCGGCCTCCTGCTTGCCATCACCAATGGCGCCCACCCTGTCTTCGAACGCTTCGTCGACGTCGGTGTCGCTGTAATACTCGCTCTGCTCTACATGCTGCATCTGGTTGGCTGTGCGTGTATGCATGTGTGCGTGAGCAACCAATGTGTGCCTGCTGGGTGGATGATGATGATGATGATGATGATGATGATGATGATGATGATGATGTACTTTGATTGCCCTGAGCCTCCTCCTTGAGCCAAGTGCTCTCACTTACGCCCTGTTTCTCATCGTCGCTGTCGTCGTAGTCGTCGTAGTCGATCGAGTTCCGCTTCCGATGGCCGATGATCTGATCCTTCGAAAGAGGCCCACGTACCCGTAAAGCCACAGCAGCGCCACGTTCACAACGGTACCCGCCAACGCCGCCGGACCCACTACGCACATGACACACACGACACGATGACACGACACGACACGACATGACAAATACGACACGACCAACGACACGACACGATCAGGCGTCACAATGGTGAATGCACTGTGAGGGAGACGTGGGAGTGATACCTGCGACGACGAACTTCCAGTACGAGAGGTTGCCGTAGGAGCCGATCAGCACGTTCTGCGGGTTGCCCGTAATGGTGGCCGCGCTGCCTGCCGTGTTTTCAAAAAGGAAACACACCGAGAGAAGCCACACGTACACGGGTGGTGAGACAAAGCCCCACCTCCCATCATTCTCATCGTGTCAGGGAGTCCATGGACACAGACGAACCGATGTTGGCACACGTGCAGATGGCCAGCATCAGCGGCAGCATCGGGTACTTGAAGCTGTGGGACATGAACGAAGGATTGCGGGTTGTCGGTGAGTCTACGTCATGCTTGGAATGTTAACCCACACGGAATGACGAGAGTGAAGAGAGAGAGAGAGAGAGGACCTGATGGCGATCTCTTCGACGATGGGTGTGAGAAAGACGCAAGTGGCGTCATTGGTGATGAGCGGGGCGAGCACGGCAGATAAGCAGCCCACCCGCACCAACAGCGCTCGCCAAGACGGCCGACCCCAGAGCAGCAATCGTCGCAGGTATATTGCGAATCTGTACCCCACCGCACCATCACGACGCTGAGCCACACGCACCACCCACCGCACACAGCCGGCCCACAATAAAAGACGGGAGTACTTGTGCTTGGCTAGGAGGCACTTGAGAGCCATCATCCCGAAGAGGAAGGCCAGTGTGTTGTAATCTATGTCGCGGTAGGCCTCTTCCGCACCAGTGAGACCCGTGGCCACCTTGGCACACGAACACAAGACAGAAGGTTATCTGGTTCAGCCAGAATTGATACAGAATGAAATGTAATTCACAATTTTGTCTAAATCACCCCTTAAGATAAAGCCCTGCTAAGCGAATGGTTTATTACGTTCAAACCATGTACAGATGACTGAGGCGCAAGGCAGGAAATGTCAATGATCGATTAATTGCACGTGAAATTAAGAAAAGGAGAAAAGAAAAAAGGAGGGGTACCATCCAAGCGGCGGCGAGGAGGGCAGGGGTCGTGCGGCCGAGCGGGAGAAAGGGGAGGGACGGGAAGGCATTGAAGATGAGCGTGAAGCCCAACCCGACCGACGCCCCCACCTTCCCCACCACGTCCATCTCGCTTCCTTCTCGTGTTCTTACCGATCCGCTAGGAACAGATTTTGGGCCGTTGCGACGAGATCTTAAGATGGCTGCTTCGGTGTGCAAGCCTAAACAATGTTCATTCATCTGCTGACAATGGCACAGAGACGATAGAATTCATCCATCATGAGGAGAAGTGCTCTGGCTTATGTTGGAGGGCATGCACGGGCAAATGGTGCTCATCTTCCTTCTCAAATCTTCGCGCGGCGAGTAGCAGCCACTACGCGCGCATCTTCAACGTCGCTGCTGCAACAGCAACGATGGCTGGCCACATCAGCGGGCAGCGGAGGGGCGCCGGTGTACGGGCATGTGACCGAGGGGGCGGAGGGCGACACGGTGCTGTACATGCGCGACACCGGCAGCGGTCGCGAGTACTGGCTCATCGGCACTGCCCACATCTCCAAACGCAGTGCCGACCAGGTGCTGCAGATTATGCAACGCGTGCGTCCAGACTCTGTCATGGTGCCATGCCTCCCCTCCTTCATCCATCCATTATTCATTTACTTTAGATGTATTATTGATTAATAAATGCAGGTGGAGTTGTGTGAGGGACGAGCGCGACGGATGCAGGAAGAGGATGGCCAAGATCCCTTCAAGCAGCTCTCTGCCCAGGTCTCTCGCATCTTTGCTGGTACCGAGCCACTCTTCTTCTCGTTAAAGGCGTCGTCATCGCCTCACCTTGGCTCGACGCGACGGCACAGGACCTTTCGCCGGCTTCGGCGCCCCATTCCTCGAGGCCAGCTTGCGGGTGCAACCTTCTACCCACTGCGCTTGCTCTCGTGACGCGTGAGCGCCGACCCACAGGCCTTAACCCCACACCACCTGCAGTCGTTTTACAATGTGTTCAAGTTGCTCGGGTTCGTGCCGGGCTTGGAGTTCAAGGTGGCCATGAACGAGGCCAAGAAGTTGAAGATCCCCGTGGTCTACGGCGATCAGGAGTCCAGCGTACGTCGTTCCGCCTCACTCACTCTGCTCATCTCTCTCTTCAGATTGCGTCGCGAGCTCTAACAAGAAGCTTCTGGTGGCCATGCACACGGTTCTCGTGTACAACACAGAAAACATTTCAACGGTTGTCGAGCGTATTCTCGTTGGACAGGCTGATGCGGATCAACAGCGACGCGGCCCACAATCAACAGATGCAGAGCCTCTTCCAGCAAATACAAGCCAACTCCATTGAGGTGCTTCGCCGCACACGACACACACGACACACACACGACACACACCCACACACACCCACACACACACGACAATCTGCTGCATGCCACTCACGAGGGGGTGCATGTGCGTATGTAGGAAATGGTGGAGAAGCTGAAGAACAGGAAGCTGGTCCGCCGGTTCGTGCAGGTGATGAAACAGGCCTACCCCGAGGTGGTGAACGTGATGTTGACAGAGCGGGACGTGGTCATGGCCGCCAACCTGCGGCGGTGCCCCGGCAAGGTTGTCGTCGGCGTTGTGGGCCTCGCCCACCTCGACGGCATCGAGAAGCACTTCAAGCCCATCATGGCCTTGCCTCAGGTAAGCCCAATTCTGTGCCGTGAGTGGTGCGTGCGTGCAGTTGTGATGTGCATTCTGACCAGAGCCCGCAACAGCCACAACAGTCGTAGTGCACCCAACCAGAAAAAGTACATAGTGTAAAACATTCCGTTCAGATTCAACTACAACGGACTCAACCAATCAATCTAGAGTTAACCCGTGCTCAGCGGCCCACTGCAGCACCGCCCTGCGCCGTCTGGCCATCCGGATGGTGCTGGCCTGCCACGGACAGCCGTTGGCGCGAGCCCACTTCACGACCTCCAGGTGGCCGTGCAGCGCGGCGTAGGTGCACGTCCGCGCGTCCCACGGGCAGCCCTTGGCCCGCAGCCACTGGACCACCGCCAGATGCCCTCCGGTCGCCGTCGCCGAACACGTCTCTTCGTCCCACGGCCCGTTCTCGGTGCAGGCGGCCTGCAGCAGGCCCAGATCGCCCCGACTCGCCGCCGCGCGCGATGCCCGGACGTCCCACGGCCAGCCGCCGTGTTCGCGCGCCCACCGCAGCATATCGGCGCCGCCGCGCAGCACGATGCTGGCCCACGTGTGGTTGCCCCACGGGCAGCCGTTGGCGGTCGCCCACTGGAGGGCCTCGAGCTGGCCGCCCTCAGCCGCGGCGGCGCAGGTCCGCTCGTCCCACTGGCAGCCGTTGGCCCGCGCCCACTCGAGCACCGCAAGGTGGCCCCCCTGGGCCGCGGTCAAACAGGTTCGCCCGTCCCACGGCGCGCCGTTGGCCCGCGCCCACTCGAGCACTGCCATATGGCCCCCGCCGGCCGCCAGCGCCGGCACCCACTCGTCCCACGGCGCACCGTTGGCCCGCGCCCACTGGAGCACCTCGAGGTGGCCGCCCTTGGCCGCCAACATGCAGACGCGGCGGTCCCACAGACACCCGTTGTCGCGCGCCCAGCGGAGAGTCTCGAGGTGGCCGCCCTCGGCCGCCAACGCACACGTGGTCGGGTCCCACGGACAACCGCCGGCGCGGGTCCACTGCAGGACCTCGAGGTGCCCGCCCTGCGCCGCTCGGGCGCAGGTCGACACGGACCACGCGCAATCGAGGACGCGCAGGTGCTGGAGCATCGCCAGTTGGCCGCCCGCCGCGGCCTTGTTGCAGATGGTGGACGTGGCGATGGGACACCCGTGGGCCAGTGCCCACTCGAGCACGTCGAGATGGCCCGCCCTGGCCGCGGCCGACGTGGTCGACGCGTCCCACGGACAGGCCTCCTCCTCCTTCTGGTCGTGGTCGTTGTCGTTGGTGGCGCGCCGCCGCAGGTGCTGGAGCAACGCGAGGTCGCCGCGCCTGGCCGCCGCCGCACAGGTCGTCGGGTCCCACGGCGCGCCGTTGGCGCGGGCCCACTCGAGCACGCTGAGCCGGCCCTCGCCGGCCAACTGCGCGCAGAACCGCTGGTCGAGAGGGTGGCCAGCCGGTGTCAATGTGGTGGCGTGGGACTGCTCCCGCGGGGTGTCAGAGTCGGGACCCAACTTGACGCGGGAGAGGGCGTAGCTGGAGTTCCATCGGCGGCACACAGCGCGACAGCAGGGCTGGGTGAGAGGGTCAACGTGGCTGAAGACCAGGGCCAGCAGCTCTGGCATCACCTCCGCCATAACAAACGACACTGCCGGCAATTTTTGTTTATTTATCTCCCGCTACCTTCAAATTCCAAGAAAGTTGTGGAATGTTCGTTGTCTTCGCTGAAGTGGCCATCTCGCGCCAAAACTTAAAAAACAATAATTTGTATTTTGGTTTAGCAAAGGCGTAAAAAAAAATCGTGATCAGAGGGATCGGACGGAGGAGGACATCTCGACCGAGGACTGGTCGATGGCGGATGATGACTGGGCCGAGGGCGACGATGACCCGGCGGAGGTGGTGGCGCGCGACAGGCGGCCGCGGGCCGTCGAGTACCAGAAGGAGAACACGTTGGTCCGCTTGGCGTAGACGGTGAAGATGAGCAGCAGGAGCGGCGTGATCTCCACCACGATCACGAACACGATCGCGCCGATGGCGTTCACGTTCTGGTCGATCGTGCCGTAGAGCAGGAAGGCGCACATGCCCAGCAGCGCCACCGTGCAGATCACCAGCACCACCGAAAACTGTGTCACACGACACACGCCACATGGGCCATGACGACATCAGCATGTGTGTGTCGTGTTGCGTGTGTCGTGTGGTGTGGTACTTTGATCATCTTGTTGCGCTTGAGCTTGGCGAGCTTTTCGCTCATGGCCTTGACGTGGGCGAGCATCCAGATCACGACCGACCCGTAGACGAGGAAGGCCAAGGCCAGGCACAGGGCGATGAAGATGATCACCGATTGGTAGAGGATGGCCAATGCCTTGCGGGCATCTTTTAGGTCCGAATTGGGATCTCCTCCATCAATGAAATACGACGTAGAACACGATGTCTGCAACAAAGTTTTTCCATAATATTAGTATATATATAGAGATGTGGAATAAAAAGAAATTTAAAAAATGAACGTACGTCGGTTGAAGAGGTGCTGGCCTGGAGCGAGATGAAGATGATGATGAGCACGATGAGGAATAGGTAGATGAAGGCGTTGACCAGGGCGAACATGATCTTCATGCGCTTGAGCATGGTGGGTCCGCCCTTCTTCAGAGTCCAATGCACCAGCTCCACCCTGTCATCGCCACCAATAGCAAAAAGAGAGTTAACCAACCACCAACATGAAGGACAAGACTCAACTTGAGTTGCTGTGCAGCCGTACCAGAAAAAGAGGAGGAGGGTGTAGATGGAGAGGAACAGGTAGACCGGCAGATCGCCCAGGATGATGTAGACCACCACGTTGGTGTCGTTCAACACACCCGTCGGCAGCATTGCAAAGTAAATCACCCGCACTACAATCGTATTGTTGGTTTTGGTTGATGAGGATTGGCAACTTGAGTTACAGAGGAGGATGGCGTACGGATGAGGATCGCTTCGATGCACGTGTGGATGATGCGGCCCATCGAAAAGAAGGTCCACAAGAAAGAGGACACGTTCTTGTCGCCCGCGTCGGGCCATTCCTGATTGGTCATTGTGTTAACATTTTCACTGGGTGGCGCACACTACACTACACGACACTGCACTGCACTGCACTGCACTGCACTGCACTACACTACACTACACTACACTACCCCCATGCGATGAATGTCTGAGCGCAGAGGAGACGTACTACTTTGATGAAGAGGAAGATCTGGTTGACGATGGCCAGCGTGTTGGGAATCAACAGGAGGGCGTAGAGGGCCACCGCGAGGTAGAACATGCCGACCGTAGCATCGCTCTGCGACTCAATGAACGTCTTGCCCTCCCAATCGTCGATCCTACAAACACACACAACGCACGCAACACGACACACGCGACACACACGCACATACAGCACACACGTGTTGAGTGCGTGTCTGATGACATGTAGGCGTGTGCGGTGTTGTGTTGTACCGTTGGATGGGGAAGTAGGTGGGGAAGGTGGCCGGCAGCGGGTAGGGCAGGACGCCGCAGAGGGCGCGGCCGCCGTCCGCCAGGGTGATGGCCACGCCGAGCGGGGCCCACCGCGAGAGATCGCCGGCGTCGCTCAGCGCAAAGTCGTACACTCCAAAGTTCGAGTTGAGCTCAATGTCCTCGCGGCGGTACAGACAGATCCGCACATTGCCCTGCGTGCGGTAGGTTTAGCGAGTGTGTCGTCGTGTGTCGTGTCGTGCGTGTCGCGTGTCGTGTGTCGTGTGTCGTGTGTCGTGTGTCGTGTCGTCTCATGAGATTGGGCGCCATACAGCGTTGGGCGAGGTGATCTTGGCCTGCTCGCCGTCTGCCTCAAGTTGAATGAACAGGCCGTCGCCGATCAGTTGACCCACCACGACGTCGTGCGAGTTCTGTGATTGGCGGAAACAAAGTGAAATGAGCAAACAGTGGATGCACTCATGTGAATCACACCGACGCAGTGCACATACCTCGAATTCATAGCCCTCGGCATTGTTGGTGATGGTCTTGACGAAGATGTTGGCCACGAAGGTGGTCTCCTCCTCCTTGAAGAGCTGGGCGGCGGGCACCGAGTAGGTGGTGAGGTCCACACAGTCCGGCGACAGCTGGAGTGTATCGTCCCACGCGATGCTCGCCGTGCCCGGAATCTGTGTGAATATTTCTCCAAACATATTGGTTGACAGCATGTATCAGTCCGACTGGGTGGTGGTGGAACGCACGGTGAGTTCGAACGCAGTGCCGGAGCAGGTTCGCGCGGCGCCCGAAGAAATCCTGCTCGAGTCCACACATGTGCCCTGGCATCATCAACAGCAACGACGATGTTAGAACATGATCGTGTGAGCTTTGTTGAAGTTGGGAGCTGGTACCTCGCCATCCGAGCCATCAACGCACGAACAAGCCACCCGATCGTAGGTGTCAAGCAAGCGATTGTAACTGTGGCACATATAGTCAAATAAAAAATAAGATGAAATAAAAACCAAATAAAGATAAAACGGAAAACAAAACAAAAGAGAAACGAACCGGCAGGCCTGGTCGGACTTCTCGAGGATGGCGAGGTCGGAATAGTGGGCCGCGGTGTGCTGGTTCATCTGATTGAAGGTGGAGAAGTAGGGCTCCACGGCCTTGTTCATCTCCTTCCACGCCCTCGCCTGCCAGCTCAACTCCTGCCAGCGCCCACCCTCAAACCTGCCCTCAACCAACAACAACACCACATCAGCAAACCGCACACTCACGCCGCACACACCCACACCGCACACACCGCACACGCACGCACCATTGGCCTTGGCGCCAGCGGTAGTAGGGGACCGCGGTGCCGCCGACCGCCTGGCACTCGGATGCGTTCTTGGGCGAGAGGAAGTCCTGGCCGGGGAGGCCGACCGCGCCCTGGAGGTAGGTGTAGCGCGGCTCCAGGCAGCCCTCGCCGTAGGCCTCGCACTCGCTCCGATTGGCGGCCGGCCGTACCCACCTGGGCTCCCCGTAGTCCAGCTGTCGTGCCAGACATTCCTGCGCGTGCAGCCGCTGTGTGAGATGATATGCGTGCGTGTGCGGTGGTGGTTGAGTGCGATTGTTTGTGGTGAGTGGGTTGAAGTACGGCTTCGGAGGCGATGTAGTAGTCCAAGCAGCCGATGTTGCCCTTTTGCGTGTAGGTGGGGCACGACGGCACGACCCCGTATTGATCGTTAATCAGCTTGAACGGGTACACGCACACGCCGTCGCTGCATTCCACCAAACCAAAAACCCAAACCCAAACCCAAACCCAAAACCCAAACGTTAGGGAGTGAGACCGAGGTGCGGGGGAGTGTGGTGTGGGGCGTACATGGGCTGGAAGTCTACGGAGGTGTAGTACGGGTTGGCGAGTTCGAGGGCGTCGTCGCACAGGCCCGCCGCATTGCACTGGGTTTCGTTGGTGCACTGAGCGCCGCCTGCGCACAACGTCGAGCAAAACGGCGTCGATTCGCATGCAGCCTATACGCACGCAACACAAGCGATCGACACCGCACACACCACCGCACACGCACGTATACAACACGCACTCAGTTCCTGCGGCCCACATGAGATAAAAGAGTAGGCAGAGGTGGGGGACCTTGTCGGCGGTCAAGTACGGGTGGCAGGTGCCGACCTCGCAGGTGGCCTGGTCCTGGTAGGCCCCGTACTCGTAGTGGAGCGCCCAGGACCACCCGTCGCCCGCGTTGACGCAATCCGAGTAGGTGCGCGAGTGCCGCAGCATACACACCTGCACCATCGGGTTCCACCTGTTCGCACAGGAGCACACGCATCACACATTGAGCGCGTGTGGTGTCATGTGAGTGGTGTGTGTGTCGTGTGTGTTGTGTGGTTTTAGCGTACAGGCAGTCGGCATCGGTAGCCAGGTTGTTGACGGCCTTGCAGAGCGTGGCGTTGTGACATTCATCCTCGGTGTCCAGCAGCGTACTGCCGGAGTAGCAGAATTCGTCACACACCAGCTTGTCCTGTCCATTCTCGTCGCGCTGTGGTTTGGTTTCAATTTCAGCTTCAGTTTCAGTTTCAGTTTCGTTTGGTGAGCAGGCTCACGTACCACGTATTTGAAGACCGAGCAGAAGGCTTGCATGCATGCCTGCTCGCTGACGCCCACGAGCGCACACTCTTGGAGGATGTTGTTGCTGCTCAAGTTGCATTCAGTCAGACCAGGCGCACACACAGAGAATAGAGTGGAATGGAAAGAATGGAACGCGCGCGTACGTTCCCGCTGCTCCATAGTTGGCACACACTCCCTGCGGCTCGTATGCCACGTTGTAATCGCCCCTCACGTAACATCCAGTGAATCGCGATACGTGCAACCGGAGTTAAAGTCACATACTCGTGTGGTTGTGTGTGTGTTGCCGTCGCGTATCATGAGAGGTGTGTGTTTGTGTTTGTGTTTGTTTGTGTGTGTCATGTGCAAATGACACATGTGAGGAGGTGCGTGTTTTGTTGGGGAGGAAGAGAAGGATATCTCCCAGCAGGAGTCGGGGTATTCCTCGGAGCAGCGGCCGCAGAAATTGGTGGCGCCTTCCGAGGACTCATCGGGCAGGTATCTGAAGTTGCAGCTCTTCTCACAGTCCGGGTCCCTGATTTTAGATGGTCGAATTACAGTTTAGATCGGCACAGGCCGGTATGTCTGTTGTTGGGTTAACATACCGGCCTAGTTCGGGATAGAGCTGGCAGGCGGCCCAGTTGCAATTGTGAGTGTCGCAGCCACCGGTCAAGAAGTATTCTTCAATGTTTGAGCCGCCCACGCATGTAGCTGGATTGTTGTTGGGACACGAACGTGTTAAGCAAAAGCTGTTACCATTTCACTGAAGAGGGTGGGGTGGTACGCGATGCCAGGTGGTCCTTGTAGGTGGCAAGAAAGGCATCTTTGTTGTTGGTCTCGTTGGCTGCATTGTAACCGAATGTAATGTTAGTCTTATTGTCTGGGTTCAAAATAGGAGAGAGGTAGACTAACCGGGTAGATCCCAGAGGGAGCGGTAGTACTGCTTCTCCTTCTCGTCCATGCCGTCAACGACGCACTGGCGTTGGTCGATATGAGTGATCAAATTGCATAAATTCCTCATGCATTGTTTGGGGTGATGCAACACCTCTGCAATCAGGTCCAGGCGCGCAGTCTGGTCCTTGGGCGTGCTGCACTTGCTGAAGAGGCAGGTCTGGTTGCCGGCACAGTCGCTGTCGGACACACACGCGATCGTGCATGTGTGAAACTCCGTACAGCGCGATCCTATTGGGCACCACAGTGAGTCACGGTGTCAATCTGGGGTTGGACCAAGATAAGATAAGATTTTGACATTTACCAAATAGGCAGTCGCCATCCGAGTCGCAATAGGAGCCATAGTGCTTGGTCGCGCAATCCAATGCCGGGTTGCTCACCCTGTAGGCTGACGTGACCGACTATAGATCGAATTAGACTGAGCCTGATCGTCATCAACGAAAGCGAAGAAAGAGAATAGAGCAAAAATCATACGTCAAAGAACGAAGCGGCGCAGTTGCGGGTGGGGTCGTCTTCGTATTGCTTGGCGTGGGCGTAGTCTTCGAGGGCGAGGTAGGTACACCCAGCCGTGCCCGAACAGCTATCGGCAACGGTAGCCTTCTTGGCCCGGAACTGGGTTCTGTCGTAGGTCATCTCCTTGCGCTCGCATACGCCCGACCACTCTTCCCTATGAAGTTTAGTTGAAGATCATGATCGGTCAACGATCAGTCAAGTTCAATCATCCATTTCCAAACAATTAGGAAACCAGAGGAATGCCAGATGAAGGGGAGAAATGTACAGAAAGTTGCAGCAGGGGTCGGCAGAGCTGTTGGAAGCAGGGTCGGTCGATCCGCAACGGGTGGTGAACTCGGTAACCGAGACGTGGCCCGCCTCTTCAATGAACTCGGTATCCACCAATCGTTGACAGCCAACCCAGCCGTCGCTGCAACAGGGTAGGTCAGATTAGTTACCACGGAACAATCAAGTTAGGGTTGAACACACACTCACACAAATACCTGACAGCGAAGGCGTTGACGCGGAGGACCAGGTCGTGGAAGTCTTCGAACGAATCAACATTGTCGTAGCTCGTCGACATGTTCTGCAGCTTCTGCTTTGCTTCCTGGAACTTGGCCTGCGAGCAATCGGGATAGCTCACTTCCGGCTGCACCAGCACGTCCGTGACCAGCTGCACGTCGAGCGTTTACGTGCATGTCGTGTGTTTCTCGTTATTGAGTTTACATCGAAACAGGTTGTTGGTAGCTCGCGTACGGTTCCGTTGGCGTCAACGACATCGACAAAACTGATGTTACACTGGGCCAGGGACACGTCGTAAACGGTGTTGACCTGTCCGTTGATGCCCACGCCGTACATCACCCGCGACATGGAGAACTTGCTCGGCACCGTTTCGAAGGTCACGCCCGGCACCCTGGTGGACCGCACAATGTCAGCACACAACACGCACACCGACACACACGCACACGCACACGCACACGCACGCACACGCACGCACACACGATCGGAGAGAAAAGACATACGGTTCATAGAGGGGAATGCTGAAGGCGGAGGCAGCCGAGTCGGCGGTGGGCATGAGGAGGGTGGTGTAGGTTGCCTCGCAGCTCTCCGGGCTGTCCTTGGCCGTCGTCTCGCAGGTCTTCAGCCCAGGGCACTCCAATTTCGCAGTTCCTGTCGAGCACCACAACCACCACGATCGACCAACCAATGCAAACGATCAGTCACTTTTATGATCACACCTTCCCCTTGACTCTGTTTATTACCATAGACGTAGAACTGCTGGAGCGGCAACGGCGCATCAAGATCTATGTCACAACGCCAAAAAACTATCAGCGCACATTTCGCATTTCTCACGCATTCCTTGGGCATTCCAGACACATTGTGATTGTGTGCGGTGCGTGCGGTGAGTGCGGGATGTACCATAGACGTAGAGGGAGAAGGTGACGTTGGTGATGGCCGGGATGTTGAGGAAGAGCGGTCCGTTCATGAACGGGTTGTAGCCCGACTGGCGGCAGCACAGGAAGAGGAGCTCGGTGAGCCCGCCGCGCTGGTGCGACTGCCAGTAGGACTGGGACGGCGAGGGCAGGAGCGCGGCGTCGTTGGTGGCGTAGATGTCGGCGTCGCCCGACGACATGACCAGGGCGATGGCCAGGCTCGTGCAGGGCGGCACCAGCACCTCCAGGTTCACCTCCTCGCCCGCCTGGAGCGTCGCCGAGTACGTCGCCGGCGCATCTGCACGTGGATCCACCATTCCCACGTCAGCATGGATAAAAATAAAAGCCGCTATTGGCGGAAAACGTTTAAGTCCCGTGTTTCCGCTCCACATATCCGGACATCGACGCAGGGAAGGAGGAGAGCTGTGTGCCTTGGGTGAGGTTGAGGCAGGTGAAGTTGGGCTGCGAACAGGTCGTGGGGGCGGGCGTGCTGCAGAGGGCCGAGCACTCGGGGTTGTCTGTGGCGGGGCTCACGCTGCACGCGTAGACGCCAAAGTCCTGCAGGAAGACCGGGCCGTCGAACAGCACGTCGAGGAACTCGTAGGTCGATGACACGCCCACATCTGACCAACAGCCCAACAATCACCCGTTTCAGAAAAGATGAAGTTGTAAAGCTGATGTTTTTTAAGCTGACGACCAAGCAAAGAACGAAGGATGAACAAGGAGAAATAGGGAGAGAGAGGTACCAGAGATGGTGCGAGAGGTGAGGAGGTGGCCGGTGATGGCGGCCGCGTCGCTGGGAGTGGAAGAGGAGAAAAGAAGAAGATGGAAAAGAGCGAAGACGAAAGATAGGGAGATGGTCGAGCGGAGGAGGTGCGTATTGTACATGACTTGTAGTGGACAAACTCACGCCAAGGCCCAAGAACAACCAACAGGGCAGGACGAAATACATGATCGTCTCCAGTTGCTGGTTGGACACATGCGATCGTTAATTTACAGATGGCCTACCGGAACCCATGAGATACAAACAAGCCAGACGGGCTTTTCGGTTGAGCACAACAGCTTCCCGGTGGCTGCGGTCGGCGGAGTTGCTCAAACGCCGGGAAAATAATAATTTATTCAAAAGAAAATAGAGTTTCCTTTAGCTTTCTCTTTGCAGTTGTGCCTTCCGCCGAAAGCGTGGGGTTCTGTACAAAACACAAGAACAAGGATGGAGGCGGATGCTGAGGTGATGTACGCGGGGGTGGGTTCACAGTCCGACCTGGGCTGTAACAAGGGCCTCCAGGCCAAGGGCGCGGTGCGCGATAACAAGTTTCAGCTGCTTGCAGGCAGCATCATCGCCCCCGCCGCCCCCGCCCTCAACAAGAAGTACACCGACCTGCGCGCCGCTCACCTCGAACAGGGCCGCATCGCACCCTCCGGTGGAGGGTACCCCCACCTCAACTAATTTAGTTATTCGAAATTCCAATTTTAATTTAACTAATCTCCGTGATTTTTATCATCATCTTGTTCAAGCTGACGATGGTGTTGATGGAGTGTGCAGATGCTTTCGGGTGATGCAGGACCTGGCGTTCGACAGCGCGTCGCAGGCGTTCATCTACGCGTACGGCACCAACCCGCCCGGCGGCAAACTCACCTGGACGCCGCCCTCCCGCCCCGGCCGCGTCGTACGCAAGCACGCCAGCGCCTCGCCCAAGCAAACGAAAAAGAACGAAAAAGACAACAAAGAGAAGGAGAAGGAGAAAGAGAAAGCGAACGACGTGGACGGCGACTACGAAGACATCGCTGGTGAGGATGACGAAGTCGAGGTGCCGGGTTGCATGCAGGTCGTTGCTGACGACGACGCAGAAGAAGACGATGAAGACGAGTCGCAGCTTCGCCCGCCTTCACGCGCTTCGAGTTCCGGCTTGAAGGTGGTCCAAGCCAAGAGGGAGCAAGTGGAAGAGGAGGAGGAGGAGGAGGAACTGTCAGAAGTCGACGCCGAGCTGGCCTACATCGAAGCCAAGATCCGCCTGCTCCAGATCCGCAAGAAGAAGCTCCTCCAGGAGAAGGCCAACGCCGACACCAAGTCGAAGCCCCTCGCCCGCAACCTCAACCTCTGACTATGACGACACATCTACAAGAGTGAAGCAAAAGAATGAAGAGGTGCCGTTTTTTTGCACAATTTTTCTACCTACGAGGACGACGATGATGCTGGTACTGCTACGCCGACAGTCTTGTTCTTGTTCTTCCTCTTCCTCCTCTTCTTTTTCTTCTTCTTTTCTTCAGAGCCACCACTCGCCGTCGTCGTCGCCGTCGAAGCTGAAGACGTTGTTAACGATGTCGATGATGATGAGGTAGACGACGCAACCTTGTCGTCGTTGTCGTCGTCCTCGTCCAGTCGCTTTCGCTTTCCGGTGGTGCCGGCCGATGACGAGGCGATCTCGAAGCAGGCGACGAAGAAGCCGATGGTCTTGTCCTCGACGGGCAGGGTGCGCAGGCAGTTGTCGGCGCCGGGGAAGAGCGGGCGGCCGCGGCGCGGCCACTGGGGCAGGGCGCGGGCGAGGCGCACGTGTGGGTGGGCGTCGAGAATGGCACGCACCACGCGCTCGTTTTCCTCCTCGTGCACCGAACACGTCGAGTACACCACCTTCTTCACTCGTGGGACTGAGACCACACACACGACCGCACACGGTGAGGTCTGGCGTGTGTGGAATGTTGGGAATGGCGACGTACACTTGAGGCAGTGGGTGATGATGGAGGTCTGGAAGGCGGCCAACCCGGCGAGCCGCTTCTTCTTCTCGTCGTCGTCGCCAAGGTCCACCCACTCGTCCTCATCCGGCGCTGTCCGAGAAAGAAAGAACGAAGGATGAGAAAAAGAACGAAGAACGAAGAAGACCAAAGTGTGAATGCCTGTCGAGGAGTGGGCGCAACCCACACAAGAGCAGAACCGGTACCGGTGGTGAAGGCGACGTCGTAGCGCGTGACGATGCCCGAACCGGAGCACGACGGGTCGGCCATGAAGTACTCCACCTAAACCAGAAAAAGAAAAGAAAAAGAAATATTAGACGATGTAGTGGCGAGAAAGTAACAGCTGGGTGGGTAGCGCTAGGCACGACGTACGTTGGCGTATTGCGGGTCGTGCGGGTTGACCTTGAGGAAGTCGCTGCATACAGCAGTAATGTCTGAACACGCAACACACACACACACACATACACACACACAAGGCATAGACTCACGTCAGCAGAGTGTCATCGAGGTGCTGATGCAGGGGTGAGAGTGTAGCGTACTGGTGGCTCCGGCGCGGGCGGTGAGCCGCTTGAGGGTGTTGAGGCGGTAGAGGTCCATGTCGAAGGCGAAGATCTTGCCCGTGTTCTTCATCAGCGCCGCCAGATGGCTGCACGCGAGCGCGTAGAAGCGAACATTAGCAAATATCTCGAGACACGCAACACACGACACGCAACACACACCTGGTTTTGTTTCCGGGCGCCGCACAGCAGTCGATGACGTGGGCGTGTTCCGGCGGCGACAGCGCGTGGGCCGAAAAGCAACTGGCCTGTGCTCGGCACCATTCGACACACATTCCAGGTTAGCTGCTGTGCTCGCATGGGGCGACGAGTGACGTGTGTCGTGTTGTGTGTGTGTGTGTGTGTGTGTGATCCGCGCGGACCTTGTCTTGCAGGACAAGCGTGCCGTCCTGCACCAGCGGGTGCCGGCCGTTCATTTTGACCGTCGGCGGCAGGACCAGGAGATCAGCCAAGTGTTCATCGACCTTGATCTCCTCGGCAGCTTCACTCTCGCTCTTCTTCTTATTCTTCTCCGCAGCCTTGGCTTCGCTTTCGTTCTTCTCGCTGTTTTGTTCTTCGTTTTCGTTTTCGTTTTCTTCGCGCTTGGCCCGCCTTCGCTTGGTGGGCTGGTGGGCGGCGCTTCTTTGTTCGTTTGAGTCATCTCCGCCGCCGCTGTTGGTCGATAGAAGCTGGGGCAGCTGGGGCAGGATGTCGGCCACCTCCGCCTTGAGCGTGTTCACCCGCACGTAGCGCGGCAGCACCAGCGGATTCCGCACCTCCTCCGGCAACAAACCTTCATTGTCTACCGCCTTTGCCCTGCATCGCTGCATGGTTAGCCCACACACCGCACACACCGCGCACACCACACACACGCACACGCACCACCGCACACGCACACGCACAGCACACGTGGGTGAGATGGTACCTGACTTTCATGCGCACGAGGGCCTGGACGAGAGGGTTCTTGTATTTGAGGAGGAGCTTCTTGAAGTGGCCGCTGCCCTTGATGCCGTCGGCCAGGATCATGTCGTAGACCATCACGTACACCAGCCACTTTTGCTTCTCCAACTGATGATTGGATTCACCGCACACCGCACACGCACCATCGCACACGCACACGACACACGTACCATCGCACGCACGCCACCGAATGAGTGTCACACGATCGCTCTTGTAGCCGTGCGCTGGACTGTACCTGGCGCTGCTCGTCGAAGATCTTGGCGCTGGCGACGAGCTGCTCGAGGACGGACTTGACTGTACAAGGAGCAGGCAAGTAAGCAGAGAAGTCAAAGCATTGAGATTGATTAGATGAGAGGAGGAATTGTGTACACTTGAGGGTCTTGCAGACGAGGGCAAACACGGATTCCTTCTGCTTGACGTCCTTATGAAAGACGAGACTCTTCACGCTCCCTGATGGAAATCGTCGGAGGTCAGTCAGGTTAAATCGCAACATTAAATCAATGAAAAGAAACCGATGATCTGAGGCACCTTTTTTCTGATGGAAGCTCTCGAGAACCATCGCCACATCGCGGTAGATGGTGCTCATCTTCTTGCGATTGTGAGATGTGCCTTCCGATTTTCTTTTGTGATTTTTGACGAATAAGAAAACAATGAAGAAAAAGCGCAGATCGGTTGTTGATCATCTCGAGTCGCGTAGAGAAGATGGAGCAGCCTGAGATTGCGGCGCCCTGGAAGCAGGAGGAGCTGGCCCAAGTGCCCAAGAAGGACATCGTCGAATTCCTGCAGAAGCATGGCAACAACGCCTTCCTCCAGCGTCACAGCCTCAAGGGCAAGCTGCAGAATGTGGCCAAGAACGTGAACAAGGTACATTGCCCATCCAGCTGTGTGCACCTCCCGAGATCAATCGATTGATCATTACATAAATTAATTAAATGAATTAATCTGCAGGGCAAGCTCGATGCCGCCTACGCCGATCTGTTCGTGTCCAAGGTAATACAGTTTTGTTACTGTTTAATTTGATGGAATCAATCATCCTGACGGTCTCGTGTGGGGTGCCCGCGGCAGGACTTCCGCACGGAGGAAGACGACAAGGAACTGGCCGCCATTGAGGAGAGGAAGAAGGCCCAGGAGGCTCGAGCCAGCGCTGCTGCCAGCGGCCCCGCTGCCGACGCCACCGAGGGTTCGCTCTTTTTGTTGTTCTTCTTTTTGTCGTGCGTGCGGTGGTGCGTGTGTGTGCGTGTGCGTGTGCGGCAGGCCGCTGACTCTGTGGTGGTCGACTTCTCTAGAGAAGAGCGGCGTGCCTGAGAAGAAGGGCTACCGCAAGATCGTGCTCAAGAAGGGCGACAAGACCAACTTCCCCAAGAAGGGCGAGTCTGTCTCTGTGAGGTGCGTGCGCACGTGGTGTGTGCGTGTGTGTGTGTCGTGTGCGTGCGTGTCGTGTGCGTGCGTGTTGCGAGTGCGGTGGTGGTACTTACGGGCCGCGAGTGTCATTCGAACTGGCAGGTACACGGGCATGCTGGAGAACGGTCAGATCTTCGACACGAACGTCGGCAAGAAGAAGTCGGCACTCAAGTTCAAGGTGGGCATGGGCAAGGTCATCCGCGGTTGGGACGAGGCCGTCCTCGAGATGAGCAAGGGCGAGAAGGCCAAGATCACCATCGAACCCGACTGGGCCTACGGCGCCAAGGGTACGACAACACACACACCACACACAACAGAGAAACTGAAAACCCGTGTTGATTCGTCTTGTTGTTGTTGTTGCAGGCGTGCCTGGCACCATTCCTCCCAACTCGACGCTCATTTTCGAGGTGGAGCTGGAGGCCATCGGTCTGTAAACCCCTTCTCTAGAGAAAGCGGGCGCACGGCAGAACGTCTTAGGAGAAGCATGAATCGAGAGCGCTCACGCCGGCGTGAAACGAACTCTGGGCTGTGCGTATGATGTGATTAGTGGGCGTGGGTGAATGTGCTATTACTTGTCCTGCCTAGGCCAGACCACTAGGGGATGATCTTGCTGAGAATGTCGGTGTAGGAGATGACGGCGATGGGCCTCTGCTGATCATCGATCACGTACGCCCTATGCGAACGGCCAGCTGTTGAAGAACGACGACGAAGGAGAGGAAAGAAGTGAGTCATCGGCACTTGAGATGTGATGAAGGTCGCGGTGGTGAGAGAGCGTAGGTAGTTGGTACCAAGCAGGTTCTCGAGCAGGTCTCTGACGCGAGTCTCCGGTTGCGCGGTGATGGGGAAGATGAGCTTGCGGCTGCCCAGCTGGCTCAGGAACTCGGGCACCGGCCTCAGGAGCAGGTGCATCTTCTGCACCGTCATGCCCCGCAGGTCCGACGCCGCCAGGTTGTAGAGCAGCCTGCCCGTCCCCTTCTCGCACACGCCCACCGCCGACACCTTGTTCTGTAGAGTTGTGTTATAAGTAAAATGTAGTGGACGATAGTTGCTAGTCTTTCTACGTAGCGAGCAGCGAGTAGCGATGATGGTGTAGTGCTACCTCCTTCATCTCGTTGAAAGCGTCGAGGGCGAGCTTGCCTTCGGCGGGGAAGCAGGAAACGACGGGCCGGTCGGCGACCAGGCCCAGCTCGTCGATGGTGGCGAGTAGTACGCGATCGAGGAGCTCCCTCTCGAGCTCGTGCTGATGGCGCGAGAGGAAACGTACGACGTCGGTCTGCGACAGCAGACGGTAGCGGCCCTCGACGACGCCACCGGCCTCGAGCTGCTCCTCGTTCTCCTCCTGCTCGTTGGTCATCGTGACGAGTACGTGGTGGGGTACCGCGTTGAGGGGCTTGATGGCCTTCTCGATCGGATCGGCGCAGTGGAAGCAGACCATGCACTCGGTGACATCGTTGAAGAGGAGGTCGCCAATCGATTGCGACGCACGTTCGGTGGCCCTCTTGATGACCGCTTCGCTCGATACGATGTTCTTGGGCTCATCGACTGCGCCTTGGCTGCCATCGAGTAGCGCCATGGTGACGTCAAAGATGTGTGCAACGCCGATGAACTTCTTGCGCTTTTCGTCGTAGATGGGCAGCGCTACGAGACCGTTGCTCTGCAGAAGCTGCATGACGTCGGCAGCGCTGGCCGAAGACTTGGCCCACAGCAGATTCTGCTTCTCTTGGACGAGATGACCCAGGCCCACCTTTTTGGGCGAGATTCGTTTGGCCAGGCCGTAGTCGGCCGTGAGGGCCGGTTCTTGAAACGCCATTCGATATGATATTGAATGAACCAAGCTGGTCTCGTTTCAAAATTCAAATCGATCTAGCTTTGCCGAAGTGGCTGCAATTTCAACGACTACCGTTCGGCTGCTGCCAGAATCGAGCGACGAGCCTGTCATCCTGACTCATCCACGTTGGTCCTCATCCACGTTGTTTTGCGTTTGTTATTCTGCCCTTTGGCGCCTTATTTACGGCCAATCTTCCGAGTTTCGAAACGCTTTTGAAAGCATTGGCAAAACGGTTTTGCGGATTGGACGAATAAAAAGCGCACAGCGGTGACCTCACAAGAAGCAACAAAAGAACTAAAAGATGAAGAGGAAAGGAGGCGGCGCGGCCACCTCACCTGCAGCAGCTGCGCAGGAGAGCAAAAAACGGACACAGCCGGGGGGCCTGCTTGCCGCATCCTCCCCGAGCGACGACGACACGTCGGCAGCCGCCACGGCCTTCCGTGAGCGCGCCGTCTTCAAGGTCGCCATCTTGTCACGCGTGCTCATGCTCCTCATCGCCACCTTCCTGGGCGAGATGTTCAGCGATTTCGACGATTCGACTGCATCTTCATCTTCCTCCTCTGCCGCGCTGCCGACCAAGTTGGACGGCATAGTCGAGACGAGCGTGGGCCATTTGGCCAAGTGGGACGGGGTCTACTTCGTGGACATCGCCCAGCACGGCTATCGCTTCGAACACTTCCACGCCTTCTTCCCGGCCCTCCCGCTCGCCATCTCCTTCCTCAACCGCACCTGTACAGTTGCTCCACATTTTTATTTTTATTGGTATTTTATTTTTTATATTACAATAGTCAGAGAAATATTTATTATATACTGAAATATAAAATTACATATTTTAAATATACAATATAAAATAGGATATTAATTATTCACACAATAATAGTTTTGAAGGTGCTGTGGGTCAAGGGCTTTGCGAGCGAGTACAACAGCGCAGTGATGGCCGGCGTGTTCGTCACCAACGCCTTCTTCGTCCTCTCCGCCGTCGAGCTCTATCGGTACAGGGGTCCCCTTCTCCATCATGATGGGTTCCTCCACGAGTCCCCCGTTCCTGACTCTTCTTCGTTCGTTCGTTTTGTGTGGGTGCGTGCGTGGCCACGGCAGGTTGTCGAGGCTGGTGGTCAAGAAGGAGATCTTCGCGACCAAGACCGTTCTGCTCTACTGCCTCACGCCAGCCAACATCTTCATGACCGCCATGTACCTACCTGGCAGCCACACTCTCTTCTCTCGCTGACTAGAAATGTGTTTACTTACCGCACACACACGACCGCACACGACCGCACGCACGACACACACACAGTTACTCGGAGAGCGTGTTTGCATTCTTTTTCCTGCGTGGCGTGCGGCTCCTTTTGGAGCAGAAGCGCTGGGAATCCGCGCTCACACTCGCTGGCACTTGCCTCACCCGGTACCTACTCGGCCCTATTCTAGGCGGGCGTTGGCCTGACTGACCACTCCACCACACATGCGCCACCGCACACGCACACACGTGCCACCGCACACGCGCATGTGTGTTGAATGGCCCTCCGCAGATCGAACGGCGCGTTGTGTTGCCTGTTCCTAGTGTATGACGCGCTGCAGCGCTGCCCCCCTCCCTTTCTCCAATCGCTCTCCGTCGCCGTTTTCCGCAAGCGGCTCTCGTTCGTCACCGCCCAGCGGCCCTCGTGGACCGTACCTCCCCCCCTCCCTTCATTCTTTCTCTCGCATTCGCGTTTCGCTCTTTTTTTCCGTTTCGCTTTCCTTCTTTCAACCACCGGCTTGGCAGACATTCCTCGCGGTCTGGCTCGGGACGGCCCTGCGCTGCGCCGTAGTCGTGGCCCCGCTCGTTGGCTACCTCACCTGGAGCTACCTCCGCTACTGCAGGTGCGTGCAGCGAGGTGTTTGTGTGTGTGTGTGTATGGCACGCATCATCTGACCAACCCTGTTTGGTCAACGCAGTCCGACCAATCCGACGCGCGGCCAGCACGAGTGGTGCGACGCCGCGGTGCCCAACATCTACGCCTACGTGCAGGCCAAGTACTGGAACGTGGGCTTTCTCAACTACTACGAGCCCCACCAAATCCCCAACTTCCTCCTCGCCTCGCCCATCGTCTTCCTCTCCGCCTGGGGCATCTTCTCCTTCCTCCGCCACTTTTCGTTATTCACCACCTCGTCATCGTCATCATCTTCATCATCTTCATCATCTTCAACCACTCCATCATCATCACCACCAACATCTTCGTCTTCTTCATCATCATCAACTTCAATGCCAACCGAGCCGTATCTCGAGGCGGAGATGGTGCCGTTCGTCGGGTACTGGGCGGTGCTGTTGGTGGTGGGCGTGCTGTTCATGCACGTGCAGGTCATCACCCGCTTCCTGTCGGCCTGCCCCGCGCTCTACTGGTTCTGCGCCAACTTCTACGACGGCACTGGTGACGTCAGCAGCACCACGACAAAGCCAAAGAACGAAAGCGAAGCGGCCAAGGAGGAGCGGAGGAGGAAGAGGCGGCGGTCGAGGAAGGTGCGGTCGTGGATGCAGTACCTGATCGCGTTCTACTTCCTGGCCTACACGCTCATTGGCGCTCTGCTCTTCTGTAACTTTTATCCCTGGACCTAAACTACCTATTAATTGTTTTAATGGCAAAGGTTGCAACGCAACCATTTGTTTGCCTTAATTAAAAACTCGAGAAACTCCGGAACAGACCTTCGGCCGCACCAGCTGCACCCGAGGCTGGGTCGTCGTCATCATCGTCATCATCATCATCACCGCCAGAGCCGTCACCGTTGTCGTCATCTTCTTCATCTTCATCATCGCCCCGGCTGCCGCTCAGCATTGCCACCCGGTTGAGCCACTCGTGGCGCTCCCGCTCCCACTCCTTGCGCTCCTGGCGCTTCTCGAGCTGCCACTCGTCCCGCGCCAGTGCCAGGGCCTGCTGCAGGTGGGCGCGCTCGCGGGTCCAGCGCTCCTTCTCCCTGGCCCATACCCAGGCCATCCGCTCCATTTCGCGCATCGACTCGCGGCGCAGCTTGACCAGGTCCTCCGCGAATTCGAGCTCAGCCGCCTGGCTCGCGTCTTGCTGCCCGAGCCCGCTCTCGGCGGTCAACCTCTTCATGTGTTTCTCCTGCGATCACTGGTGTGTGAGCGTGTGTCGTGTATGTCGCGTGTGTCGCGTGTGTCGTGTACTTTCTCGGCGATGAGGTTTTCCTTAGTTTCGGCCAGCTGGGTCTTGGCCAGCTCGAGCTCGTGCTTGGCTTGGCCCAGCTCGCCAATAGTATCTTGGTGCTTCAAAGTCAACTCCTCCCACGACTTTTGTGCCCCGTTCTATTCGCATACACCGCCGCATGAGGACGTGTGGCGTCACGCGGTGGTTGAGGGTGTGGCGCACCAGGAGTTTGGCGAGTTGTTCCCTGGTCTCCTCGAGCTCCTTCCGCATCGACTCGTGGATCTGCAGCAGCTCCGAGTACTCCTTCATGAGATCCATCTTGCTGACCTCGTCCAAGTGACGATTCGGGATCTGCGTCGGGGTCCGTGTGGCTGATAACATATGTCATGAATGATGTCAGACATGTTAACCATAAATCACAGACGTAGAGTCGTTGAATGTACATCGTTCTCTCTGGTTGCGGATCAGTTCGCTCACGGGCCGGTTTGGCAGTGACCTGTTGAGCAAACACGGTGATCTTGTGTGACAACAAGCGGAATTAATGACTGGAGCAGGTGATGGCACCACACCGCTCCTGCTGGGGCCGTTGTGGCTTAGGGTCGTCGGGCGGGGAAAGCAGTCGCAGGTGCTCCGCGCTGTGCGAGAGCTGGAACTGACAGTCTGGCGGTTGATGGCGGGCCTCGACCATGTGGAAGTGGCTCAAGCCATTGACCCACTTCTTGAACTCGCTGTCCGACGGCGCCGTCAGCACGTAACTGCGCCCTGAACAGCGGTTACAGTGGAACCCACCTTGAGTAATGCATCAGTGAAAAAAAAGCTATAATGAGCACCTGGAGTGTTGATCTGGAACTGGAAGAGCTTCTCGTTGGCCGGGACGATGGAGGAGGCGAGCATGAGGTCGACGAAGCCAATGCACGATGTGCTGGGCAGGTTGGGCTTCTTGAAGTAGTACAGCACCTTGCGTCGGTAGTCGAGTTCGAACCACCGCCGCCTCTCCGCCGAGAACTTGTTGGAGCCCTGCTTTACCAGCCATCCCTCCAACTACATTGGGTTAATATAATTAAGAACAACACCACACACCACCACACGCACAAACAAACACTAACATTAGCAACAGGAGGGAAGGGCTACTGGGGGGTTGGTGAGGTCCTTGGCGCCCGAAGGCGGAAGGGAAGAAGAGGCCATTTTTGAAACTGTGAACGAAGAGATCAAGGAAGGCTAATCGGCACCAAGGGGCGGTAATCCCAGTAAGGAAACAGGTGTTGAAGTGAAAGAAACGAAGGAAGAAATATGAAAGAGAAACAAGAAAGTTCTGCGCTGAGTCCACAAGAAATGAGTGAGATTTCAACGGAAGAGCGGGATCCAGCCGGGACATGCTGCCCCGCAGAGCGGACAAACAACACAAGATGGAGCAGCAACACAAGCGGGGCGCCGATGTGGAGGAAGGGCAGCCGCTCATGTCCCACCAACGCTCGCCCTCCCCGCTGCTTGCACGCGAGGCACCTCCATCGCCCACCCTCTCCTCCTATCAGTCGTTCCCACGAACCTCCATCTCCTACTCCGCCCCAGCAGCCCCACCCCACCACTCGGCCCAGGGCGTGCTCGCTCGCCTCAGTACCTCCCCATTTATTTATTGTATTTTATTTTAATATTGAAATACCAAATATTTGATTAATTTTTCTTTTTACAAAATGGTCAGACAACTTTCTGCGACTGGCGAAGCCGCTTGAAGAGGAGCACGATGAGAGTCGCGCCGACGGCTGTGGCTGGTTCTACTGGTATGTATGTGGCCACATGTGTCGACACGCATTCCCAGAATGCTGATGAACATGTTGGACATGTTGGGATGAAATGTTGTGTGGTGGTGGGCAGCGGGTGGCGAGCGCGGCTGGGCCACTGGCTCGAGGGCCGCCGGGTGCAGTACTTCTTCATTTCGCTGCTGGTGCTGGACATCGTCCTGCTCACCTGCGAGCTCGCCTTCGAGGAGTACTTTGCCGACGAGGACGGCGAGGAGTGGATCCTCATCGTCAAGGAGGTCTTTGGTGTGTGTCACACCACGCACACGCACTCACGCACCCCACACACACACACACACACAACAACAACAACAACGCACACAACGCACACGCACACGCACACGCACACGCTGAAATGAGTGTGTTCAACGGCGCAGAATATGCGAGCGTGAGCATCCTGCTGGTGTTTGCGGTGGAAGTGGTGCTGCTGGTGATCGCGTTCGACCTGGCCTTCTTCACGCACCCGTTCTACGTCATTGACGCGATCATCATCGGTACCAGAGACAGATCAGTTCAGTATCACGACGGAATGTGTAGAATGCAGTTAACTAAACTGCTCGATGGTGCTCGCGGGCGTTCAGGCGTGTCGCTGTTCTTCGACCTGTACCTCAAGGAGGCCCTGGCCGGCTTCCTGGTCGTGTTTCGATTCTGGCGCGTCGTTCGCGTGGGTACGGTGGAGATGACCTCTTGATGACCACACATGTTTGAGGTGCGAGCACCACCTTCACTGACCTCGTCATCTACAACTTCTTCGAATGGCTGGTTTTGTTGGGGTGCAACCAGTTCACTCGATCGTGGCCGCCGAGGAGGAAAGGCACGGCGAGACCAAGCGGGAGAAGCGACGCCTCGAAGAAGAAATTAAAGACTACCAGGTAACTCCCTTCTTGACAACCAACCCCTCGACAACGCCCACCGATCATCAATTCTGTGTAATGTGATCGTGCCTTGGCTTGGCTGGTTCATTCAGGAAACGATCGCGGACTTGCAGCGAAGGCTGGACGCCAAGGACTGGGCGCTGGAGCGGCTGCGGGAGAAGTGCGCTGCGCTTGAGCAGCGACAGCGGGATCCGTCGGCCGACAACTACGACACGATACCGAGCAGCAGGAGCGGCAGCAGCAGCAGGAGCGGCAGCCAGTCCTCCTTGCCCAGCCTGTCGGCCCAACTGCCAGCAAGCGCCACATAACACACACAACACACGCAACACACAACATGGCACGACCTCGCGGCAAGCTGATGGTAGTTATAGCTGGACCGCCTTCGCTGTTTGAAATAGTTAAAATATAACAATGCAAAAATTAAGGGGCGAGCACTTCGCTTCCTCTTCCCCTCCGGGCTTTAGAGGAAGTAGCTGCCGTCTTCCTCGTCGTCGTTGAACATTCGCAGCATCTCCTTGTAGTCCTTCCCGCCCAGATAATTCTCCACCTGCAACACAACACAACACATTTCAACAAACACACATCAATCAAACACGTGTAATCCCGTGCGTGTGCGGTGGTACGTGTGCGGTGGTACGTGTGCGGTGGTGCGTGCGCGTGTGCGCGTGTTGTGGAACGCAACGTACCCCTCGATCTACACCCATGCGAACCAAGCTGTTGATTTGTTTCTGTCGACGACAATGTCAGTCAATCATTACATTGTCATCTTCAATGGGCTGTGGAGAGGGGGGGGGGCGATGTACGGGAAGCTGCTTCTTGGCGGCGATGTGGAGTGCGGTGTTGCCGGTCTGGTCCCGGGCGTCCACGTTGCAGCCGAGCTTGTGGAGGTGAGCCGCCAGCTCGGCGTTGTCCTTCGACACGGCGTACTGGAAGAGTGTCCACACCTTGTTGATGTTGAAGAAGCACGGCACGTCCCACTTGGGAATCGTCACCTGTACACGAAGACGACACACGACGGGTGAGACACATGGTGCGTGTGTGTGCGTCGTGTGTGTGTCGTGTGTGTGTATCGTGTTGTGACAAGGATCAAAAGTGTGGAAAACGCACGTTGCTGCCCTGATCGACGGCGGTCACGGCCTTCTCCCACTCGGCGCACAGCTTTTCAATGTCCCCCAGGTGGTCTCTCGGCACCTTGGCCAAGGCCTTGCCCTCCTGCGCCGCGGTAAACATTCACGTTTGTTTCTGCACAACACAACACACACCACACACAACACACCAGATACAAAGGGGAACAATACGTCGCTGTTGTAGAAGCGGAGGACGACGCGGAGCTCGCCCTGGGCGCCATCGCCCTCGAGCGGGAACCAGTTGTCGACGCTCTCGGTGAAGGGAATGATCGCCCGGCCGAGCACCTCGTCGGCCGAGAAGGACTTGTTGTTCATCACCGTGATGGCGAACGTCTTCGGCTTGGGCTCGCCGTCCATGCCAAAATATCGGTGTCTGTGCGTGCGTGTGCGTGCGTGTGCGTGCGCGTGTGTAGAGGATGATGAGCAATGTGTGTTGGTGGTGCGCGCGTGCGTGCGCCGCACACGCGTGTGGTGGCACAGATGCTTACCCCACGAACTGTTCGTGCCACTGAGGGTTGAGCGAGCGTCGGATGGTGGAGGTCCTCGCGCCGATGATGCCCGAGGGGATGATGTCAAACTTACAATAACCGTCCGACTTGCCTGCAAATATTAGAAGAAGATGAAGATGACGTAAAATAAGTTAGGAAGGGAGCAGCGGCAAAGAAGACGAAAGGGGAGCGAATGAATGTAGGCCGACGAACGTACCGAGCACGGAAGACCTTCGCAAATTACGGGCCTCTTCGACTGCAAATCACAAGTGTGGAGAAGATTAGACACTCGCGCTACACGAATGGCAATTAGGCAAGAAGGATAAGATTCGACGTACTTCGAAGTACAAAGTAGTGATTTTCTGAGATACGCGATGGGCTGGAGAGCCCAGATTTGCCAGCGCTGGCCCGCATCCGAATGGAGGTACGGGGGGATCCCTCACCCGCAAGCACAAGGGCCTCGAAATTGCGCGAATTTCGACGCTCTAGCTTCATGGGACCTTCGTGTTGATGCTTGGCCTTGTCCACGGGCGAGCCGTGGTCCCAGCTCTTCTTACGCTGATGCTTGGTCACTGGCGGAGCCAATTGACCTTCAGCGGGTCCCGTAGCGCCTTCCACCCTCGATGAATTCGGACGCGAGTATTCGAGGCTCCTCCTCTCCTTCACCTCTTCCTTCTCATTGTCGCTCGCCTCATCCTTTTCCTTTTCTTTATCTTTATCTTTATGATCCCCTCCTTCTGTACTACGACCTGCTCTTGGCGAAGGCAGTCGTCCGTTCTTCTTCCCCTTTGTGCCTCCTGACTTCTCCTTCGGGCTCTTCTTCTTGCCGGAATCGCTTGTGCCTTTCCTCTTGGGCAGCGATTTGAGGCTTGTCACCACCACTGCTGGAGAGGTGCTGGTGCCCCCTTCGTGTTCATTCGGCGTGCTGTTTGGGTCGGCCGTGGGGCTCACCGACGAAGATGATGGAGTAGTAGTGGTAGAAGACGGTTCCTCCATCGCAATGTGTGATTCAACAGAAGAGAAAGGCTTGCAATCGACGAGGTTGGTTTGATCTCTTTTCGATTTGATCTGGAACTCCAATTTGTGTTTGCGCGGAGCTCTTTCGTTTTTCCTTCGTTCACGCAAAATGTTCCGCGCGCAACATAACCGTTGAGCGCACTTGGCGCGTTGCCGGTGCCCCCCACGAGGCCGTCGCTCGCTTGCCTTGGCTTGGGTTCACGCGTGGATGCGCCACTCCCTCAAGCGCTTGGCCTCTTCCTTGGAGACCGAGGGCAGCGTCATCTGAAGCGCCGCCATGAAGTCTTGTGCATTCACCACCTGGTGACGATGTGCAGGTGGTGGTGGTGGTGAATGGTTGATTGAAACTGTCAAGTGTAACATGTGGAATGGATGGCGTACATCTCGGCCGTGCTTGATGGTCTCGACAGCGGCGTTGCGGCACAGGTCCATGAGGTCGGCGCCGGTGTAGTTCTCGGTCACCATGGCCAGGAAATCGAGCGACACGTCCGATGCCAACGGCATCTTCTGCGTTTGCAGATGCAAGATCTCCTGTTGTTGCGACAAGCACAAGGATCATGTAAACAAATGATACACCAGACGACACACACCTGCGCGCCTTCAGACGCACCTGACGCTGGGGTTGGTCGGGCGGGCCAACGTAGATGCAGCGATCAAATCGGCCCGGACGTAGGAGCGATGCATCCAATACCTAACACACACACACACACACACACGGTATGAGCGAGTGTGAGATTACAATCATTCAATTCATTCTTGGCGATGTCAGAACGGAAAGAAAGCTGCAGGCGTACTTGTGGTGTGTTGGTGGCCGCCATGACGACCACGCCGCACCCTTCGCCCTCGAGCATGTCCATCTCGAGCAGCAACTGAGACACCATCTAGACGAAGACGACGGCGACGACGAAGAAGAAGCAAACGGATGAGTTATAACTTGAAGTGTTGGCAATCGATGCTGATGTGGTTTAGTACCATTTTTGTTGACGACGAAGAGTCAGAGCGATGTGAGAATACGGCCTGGATCTCGTCGAAGAAGATGACGCACGGGCTGCTTTGGCGCGCCTTGCGGAACACCTCGGCGAGCCGCTTCTCCGATTCGCCCACCTGTTTGTGTTGTTGTTGTTGTTGTTGTTGTTGTTGTTGTTGTTCGCAAGCGACACGCAACAAACACGACACACGCCGCTGCTTGACGACGCACCTCCGAGCGCAAGAGGTCGGCGATGGAGAGGGTGATGAAGTTGGCGTGACACTCGCCCGCCACGGCGGCGCACAGGAGGGTCTTGCCGGTGCCCGGTGGGCCGTAGAGGAGGATTCCGCGCGGCGGCTGGATCCCGAGCCGCCCGTAGGCCTCCCGGTGCTCGTAGGCCCAGGTCACCGTCTGCCGCAGCTTGGCCTTGACGTCATGCAGGCCACCGATGTCTCGCCAGCCGATCTGGGGCAGCGACACGGTCACCTCGCGCACGCCGCTGGCCTTGATGGGCTTGAGCGCCCGGAGCAGGTCGGCCCGGGTGACTTTGATGTTGACGTTGACGACGTTGTCGGGGTCGGCGCCGCCGGCTCTCCGCTCGTGCGCGAACAGGGCGGCATCGCGGCAGGCGGCCATGATATCTCCGCCTGATTGGGGACGGTCAGCCAGGCTTACCCCGAGCCATTGCACAGGAATGCGAGGCACGCGTACCCACAAAACCGTGGCAACGGTCGCTGATGGCCCGCAAATCGACTCCCTCTTCTGTTGCCGTTGGTTGGTTGGTTGGTTGGTTGGTTGGTTGGTTGGTTGGTTGGTTGGTTGGTTGGTTGGTTATTCTTAAGAATGATAAAAAGAATCATGGAATGTTGTATATTGATGGTACGTACCGAGGGGGACGCCAAACTTGCGCAGACACTGATGGAAGATGTCTACGCGCTGTTCCGCAGTGGGCACCTCGATGGTCACCACGTCCTGGATGAAGGGCCAATTCGTTGGAAGAGTGAGTGTGAAGCTGCTCTGTTTTGTCCCTCCTGTATCCCTCCTCCTCCTGGTTAACACAAAACACGTAACTCACTCACGCACTCACCTCAAACCGATCCCTCGCCCCTTTGTCCACTCCTTCCAAATGGTTTGTTATCCCCACCTGCATGTAACACACACACACACACACAGAGAGAGAGAGTGCGCGAGTGAGTGCGCCCCCATTTCGTCAGCAGCGAGGAAGAGGTGTAGTTACCACGAGCACCCGATGGTGCGCGTCTCGGGAGAGGCGCTCGAGGAACGACAGGAGAGCATGCACTATGTCCTCCTCGCCCTCGCGCCCAATCTCCTCGGCCGGGAACAACGCGTCCATGTCATCGATCACAACTGGAGACAATAAATAAATCAATAAATGCTTTTCTTAAAAGAACGAAAAAGAGCGAAAACGACAGCGAGATCGGGGGGGGACGTACGGATGGACGGCTGTAGTCGCAGGGCCACGTCGCAATAACGGCTCAGGCCGGCGGCCATGCGACTGGAGAACTCCGAGGCCAGCCGGGCGGGTGTGATCCACACGACGGGGAGATCGCCCTCGAGCGCCAGGCCTCGCACGAGCGCCGACTTGCCCGTGCCTCTCGGCCCGGTCACAATGATGCTGTTCGCGGCCTCCAGGCGTCCCACTACAGTACAGCCAGGAAGTTTAGAAAACGTTGCGTGTGTGTGCGTGTGTTGCGTGTGTTGCGTGTGCGTGTGTTGCGTGTGCGTGTGTTGCGTGTGCGTGTGTTGCGTGTGCGTGTGTTGTGTGTGTGTGTGTGTGTGTGCGTGTGCGTGTGGTGTGTGTGTGTCATGTGTGTGTGCAAACACTTGGCATGCGTACGATTCCTGCTCCGTCTCTTGGTGGCATCCTCGATGAAGGCTCGTATGCTGGTGAACAATTAATCACAAATCATACAGTGAATGAATAACTTAGAATTAATAAACAGAGGTGGGCCGGGTACAAGTGGCGATTCTCGTCGTAGGAGCGGAAGGGGTCTACGCCCAGCGGCGAGCTGCGGATCTCTTGTCGGATGGCCTCGAGCATGTCGTGCTCGTCGGCGCTCTGGAGCATAAACTCGACGAAGTCGGGAATGACGCCCCAGTTCACCTCGGCGGCGGCGGCGGCGGCGGCGGGCTCGTCGTTGGCGCCCACCAGCGGGAAGCATTTGCAACTGTGAGAAAAATTGTTTCAGTGTTGGTGTGCGTGCGTGAGTGTCGTGCGTTTCGTGCGTCAAACGTTTCGACGCGAGAGCTACATACGTGTACAGGCCGTAGGGATGGCGTGCACTCTGCTGCGGAAGGCAAAGGGTCGCGCCATCACGCAGATAGCGCACCTGACGGAGAATATGGCGCACCACTGCAATGTAACGTGTTGTCCAAACCGACCAATAGCGAATAGCATCAGCGCCAGCGACGACCAATAGCGACACACACACACACACACACGTGGGCAATCCGTGACACGGCCGTACGGTTGGCGGACGGGAGCGAGGCGAAGGGGAGCGAGTTGTCCAGCGGGCCGATCAAGATGATACGCTGCCAGACGGGCAGCCGATGCTCCGGCACAGCGCGCACGTGGACCACGGTGCCGTCTGGCGGCACCCAGTCGGCCACACTGCCCAGCACGTAGTCCTCGCCCTGTTGCGTGTCAGTCCATGTGTCGTATGTGTGGCGTGCGATTGTGTGTGGTGTGTGGTGTGTGTGGCGTGCGTGCGTGCTGGTGCGTACCTTGGTGGTGTGTTGAGGGCTGGGCACTGCGGGTGGCTGCGTGTGCTTCAGATGAAGAAGGCCACTGACCCCCGTTGCAGGATCCTCCTTGTCCGGTTTGATACGGGACTCCACCCACAGGGGCAGTAGTACTAGTGGTGTAGATATGATTAATCTCCAAACACACGCTGCAAAGGAAATGCAAATTTGTGATACCTCGTTCAAGGGAGCGAGTAGCTGAGGTGATTTCGATGAGGCCGCCACGAAATGACACGAATTCGCCTTCATTCGAGATGAGATTGAAGATGGAAGGCGCTACGTGGGCCTCATTGCTCCACAGAAGCTTGGTGGCGCTTGGATCCTCCGGGTCTTCTCTGTCGTAGACAGGTGGCGGCACGAAGCGCTTGATTTTGAGCCTTATCTGTGGTGCAGATTGAGCCCCTTCCATCGTGATCACGCTGTTTATTTTTCTTCGATAATTTCTTTTTTGCACTTGAAATACGGATTTATATAAAATTCGAAAACAATCGAGCAATCTTGTCCGCTCATGGCCATGAGGGGCGATGACTATGTGGATGATGAGCCGGAAGGCCGCGAGGAGGGGCTCATGATGATGGAGCTCGAGCAACCCGCGGATGACGACGAAGTGCTGGGCCAGTACTACGTGGCAAGGCGGGAGATGCTTGCACAGACCCTACAGCGCAGGAAGAAGTGGATCGTGGGCGGTGCTGCCACTTGCCTTGTAGTGGTGTTGCTGCTTGGCATCGTCGCCATGGCCGTGCGCAATCAAGGTGAGCATCCATCTTCATTTTGTTTAATCACTTTTATATTATATTTAAGTATTAAATGTTATTTTTTAAGTAATAATACAATTTTAATTGCTATTATTGGTATGTTTATTTATATTTATTTTATTTTTATTTAAATTATTCCTATTTTTATTCGCTACCAAGTAATGAATCAAATGTTGTGTTTCCAGGTCACGGTGGAAATGGAAGTGGCGGCGAGATGGATGGCCCTCGCCTGCCCGGCTACGTGCAGCCAAACCACTACGACCTCCACATCATGACCGACATGACCGCCTTCACCTTCAAGGGCACCGCCGAGATCGACATCACGGTTCGTGCGCCGTGTACTCTGTGTGGCACGCGCGCACGCACTGACGTTTCTGCGTTCCAACAGGTGACAAAGAAGGGAATCAACCAAATCGTGCTACATGCGCTGGACCTCGACATCAGTGAGGCCCGGCTCCAGTCCGCCGACAAGCTGCACAGCGAGGACGCCGATGAGTACACTCACTCTTTCTCCTCTGGCCAACTCACACGCACCACCACACACGCACGACTCGCGCGATAACGACAATGCAATGCGCAGGATTCGATTCGACAAGGCCAACGACTTCCTCATTCTCGAGTTCGCGTCGCTCTCCAAGTGGCTCGAGACCTCCTCCGAGTTTGTGCTGCAGCTGACCTTCAACGGCACACTCAAGACCAGCATGTCCGGCTTCTACCGGTACATGTTCTCTTCGCACGTCTGTGTGTCGTGCGTTTCGTGCGTCGTGTGTTGTGTGTTGCGCGTGTGTCGTGCGTGTGCTGTGCTGACCTGCAATCGCAGGAGCTCCTACGTTGTCGACGGCAAGACTGAGTGGTTGGCCGTCACAGACTTTGAGCCGACCGACGCTCGTCGAGCCTTCCCCTGCTTCGATGAACCCGGTAACCCTCGCCTCGCGCAGCAATACCTTCTTGAACCGCCCTACCCACGCGCTAGTCAAGATCCGCGTTGATGTTTGTTGTTGTTGTTGTTGTTGTTGTTGTTGTTGTTGTTGTTGTTGTTCCGTTCCTGCTCATCGTCCGTGTGTGTGTGTGTGTGTGTGTGTGTGTGTGTGTGTGTGTGTGTGATAACGTGCAGCAATGAAGGCCAACTTCACCATCACGCTGACGTATCCGGTCGGCTACCAAGGCATCAGCAACATGCAAGAGTTAGGCCGAACCACCAGCCCCAGTGCGTACTCTCTGCATGCCCAGCACCACGCACCACGCAGCACCACGCACCACGCAGCACCACGCACCACGCCGCACCACGCACCACGCCGCACCACGCACCACGCCGCACCACGCACCACGCCGCACCACGCACCACGCAGTGAGGCGTCGCTCTCAATTGCTGATAACTGGTTTTTCCACCCTAGCCCGGATCGAGTCCAAGTTCGCCACGTCGGTGCGCATGAGCACCTACCTCGTGTGCTACTCCATCAACAAGTTCGAGTCCATCCAGACCACCACCACCGACGGGAAGGTACGCCTGTTCCCTACGCCGCTTTTTCTTGTATTTGTATTTATGAGTAATTATATTTATATTGTGCAATATAATACAATTCAGTAAAATAATAATAATATTTGTTTGTGGTGCAGGTCAAGGTGAGAGTGTGGACAACGCCCGACACGATCAGCCAGGCCGAATACGCTCTCGAGGTTCGATTTGAAAAGTAACGTTGACCACGTCCATCCCGGTCAATTCCTGAATTTGGTTGGTTGCGCATCTTGGTTGTGGCGGCCACAGGTGGGCAAGTACGTGCTGGGTAACTACACCGACTACTACGGCATTCCCTTCCCGCTCAGCAAGCTCGACCTTATCGCCATCCCTGACTACTCGGCCGGCGCCATGGAGGTACCTACACGTAGGCCTTTCTTTTCGCACACGATATGTGTGTGGTGGTGTGTGTGTGTGTGTTGTCGAGCTCTATCGTGTGCTAACCGTAACCAACGCGCGCGCACAGAACTGGGGCCTGATCACCTTCCGCCAGACGGCGCTCCTCTACGACCCGCAGCAATCTTCATCCTCCGACAAGCAGCGCGTCGCCGTGGTCATCGCCCACGAGCTGGCCCACCAGTGGTTCGGCAATCTGGTCACCATGAAGGTATCTTCGCATACCAATCGCACGGCACACACACACACACACACACACACACGTGCGGAATTGACGATCGTCACTGCCCTGCACACTAACGTGCCGCACGCCTCATAGTGGTGGAACGACCTGTGGCTCAACGAGGGCTTCGCATCGTTCATGGAGTACAAGGGCGTCAACTTCATCCACCCGGACTGGAGCATGTGGGAGCAGTTCCTCTACGACGACCGTAGCACGTACGTGATGATTTTGAATTAAGTTACGCTCACATTTTTTCAGGTCGCACTATTGCTCAACCGAATCACCTCACCGCGTAGGGCGATGGACCTGGATGCCCTGCGCACCTCCCACGCCATTGCCGTGGACGTGAAGCATCCGTCGGAGATCGGCCAGCTCTTCGATTCCATTTCCTACTCCAAGGGCGCCAGGTACACGCTCGGTTATAATAATAACAATAATTCGATAATACATAATATTACATAATAATTAAAAAGTAATTATACTATTTATATTTATATTCTTATTGTCCGGCAGCATCATCCGCATGCTGGAGGCCTATCTGGGCACCTTCACCCAAGGTACGGCGTACCTTGATCCTCGCCTTCCCCTGGTGCGCTTGCCTCGCTTTCGCTGACGTCAGCGACACGTACACATACGTACAGCGCCTCGTCTCTTCCAAAACGGAATCCACGACTATTTGGTGCGGCAGCTTCTTCTTCTTCTTCGCAAGCTGTGTGTGTCGTGTGTGTCGTGTGGCGTGTGCGATGTATTCACGTATCTTTTACGTAAATGTGAGCGCAGGAGGCGCACAAGTACGGCAATGCGGAGACGGCGCAGCTGTGGCAGGCCGTGTCGGACGCTACCGAGTCCGTCGGCAGGCTCGACATCGCCACCATGATGAACACCTGGACCAGCCAGGTCGGCTTCCCCTACCTCCAACTCACGCCCGTCCCCGGCCAACGCCAACTCGATGTCACCCAGGTACCACCGCACACGCACCACTCGCCACCGCACACGCACACGCACACACATGGACGCGGTGCTAAGATGGCGACGGACGTGGTTGGAACGTCAGCGACGATTCCTGGTGAACGGGAACAAGTCGCACGAGGATGCCACGCTGTGGTGGGTCCCGTTCGTCTACAAGACCTTCGGTGGCGCCCCGACACTCAAGCCCCTGCCCAAGGTCCTGAACCCCTGCGCGCCTCAAATTCCGTAACTGTGTCGTGTGTGTGTCGTGTGTGTGTCGTATGGTGTCGTGTGGTGTCGTGAACTGACTGTGCTGAGGAGTTCAGACGCGCTCGGAGAGGATTCCGTTTGATGCGAGCCGCGACGGCTACGTGCTGGGTAACGTGGGACAGGCGGGCTACTACCGCGTCCTCTACCCGGCCTCCATGTACGACGCCTTCCGCGCGCCCCTCTCCCAGCTCCCCAACTCGCCCATCCAGGTACTCCCTCCGCCCCTTGCCACGACACGACATGACACGCGACACAACACACGACACGACACAACGCGACGTGACGCGAGGCACACGAGAGACGCATCGTTCACGCATATTCGTGTGCGCAGGCGTTGGATCGCGCTGGCCTTGTCGATGACATGTTCGCCTTCGCGCAGGCCGGACTCACCACCCCCGTCGCCGTACGACACTTTCCTTTCTTTTCTTTCTTTCCTCGTAGCCTAACTTTTCCGTTTTCCGTTTTCCGTTTCGTTTCGTTTTTTTCGAAAACTGCGCAGGCGCTGGAGCTCACACAGTTCCTGGAGAGGGAGAGCGACTACACGGTCTGGGCGATGGCCCTGGACGGGCTCAACGGCATGGGCGGCCTCCTGCGCTACGAGGACTGCTACGGCCGCTTCCAGAAGCACGTCCTGAGCCTCATGGGACCCGCCCTGCTCGAGGTCGGCTGGACCCCCTCCGACGCCGAGCCGCACCTGACCAAGCTCCTCCGCAGCCTCCTCCTCGCCAACGCCGTCTCCCTCGGTCACCAGTACGCTCACACGACACACACGACACACGACACACGACACACGACACACGACACACGACACACGACACACGACGACACACACACACACGACACATTCGCACCACACACACACACACACACACACACACACACACACACACACACACACACACACCACACACACACCACACACACCACACACACCACACACTCGCGCCGGCTCACCACCCACCACCCAGCTCTCGTGGGTTCCTACACCGTCACACACGACACATTCGCACACACGACACACACACACGACACATTCGCACACACACACTCGCACACACATTCGCACTCACGCGCGGGTGTGCACAGGCCGTCGATCGACACGGCCAAGGAGCTCTTCAAGGCGCTGGGTGCGTGTGAGCCAGCCTTCGTTGTGTGGTGTGTGTGGTGTGTGTGTCTGTGTGTCGTCAAGCTCTCCATTTATGGAAAACAACATCGCATTTCCATAGTGGCGACTGGCCGTGAGATCCCGCAGGACCTTCGCAACGCCGTGTACCGTGCTGGTGTCGCCACCGGCGGCCTCGACGCCTACGAGTGGATGCTCCAACGGTAAACTCACAACGACACGACACGACACACGCGGAATGAAATATCAATCATCAGTGTGTATGTTGCGCAGATATCAAACGGCGAACGTGGCTGCGGAAAAGCTGCGCGCGCTGTCGGCGTTGGCCTACGCGCGGGAGCCCTACCTGCTGCAGCGCACGCTGCGTCTGTCGCTGTCGCCGCTCGTGCGGTCGCAGGATACGGTGCGCGTGGTGGCCCTCGTGGCCAATAACCCGGCCGGCACCGCGCTCGCGTGGGAGTTCTTCCGCGACAACTACCGCGTGTTCTACGAGCGCTACGGCGGCGGCCACTTCCTGATCAAGAGCCTCATCAAGGCCGTCACCACCCACTTCTCCACCCAGGCCAAGCTCGCCGAGGTCAACCAGTTCTTCAAGGGTACACCAAACGACACGGACGGCACGCATGACACACGCGCTAATGCGTGTGGTGCCGTGTGTGTGTGTGTGTGTGTCGTGTGTGTCGTGTGTGTGTCGTGTGTGTGGGGGACAGATCACTTTGTGGAGGGCGGGTCGCGGGCCATTGAGCAGTCGGTGGAGACGATCGAGTACCGCATCCACTGGTTGGCCACCAACTTGGCGACTGTTGACGCCTGGCTAACGGCACACACCTAGGAATAGACCTCTTTAGCCCTTTCAACAGCATTCTTCATCATGATCCACACATCTACGTTACCCCGCAGGTGTGAGGTTGCGTGCGGATGTCGTGCCGCGGAGACGGTTGCTAGCACCCAGGCTAGCCGTGGTTGGCTCAAATTTTTTAACTTTTCTGGCTACCCGAGTGGTAGCTCAGACGCGCCGGTCCGTAAAATAGGGCTTCGCAGTCGTCAATCATTCTCCACCCTCATCAACACCTCCAGAGATTGTTAGTCCTTTGTTGTATACTACTACTACCCAATACAGCGATCTACCATGGCCACCCGCTTCGTTCTTCCGCTCTTCGCCTTCATCGCCGCCTTCGTTCTTTTCTTCGTGTAGAGGAAGCTGAAGTTGACGATGATGGTTGCCGGTTCCAGGTCTCGCTGTGCGTCTGCTCTACGCCGGTGTGCCCGTGTACTGGGTCATTCGTTCGGGCAAGGCCAAGGACCAGGCCGACTTCGCCGCGATGGCCCATCGAGTACGTCTTGCCTCAAAAGTGCAGCAAGTAGTGCCTCTACTTACAACAAAAGGCGATGAACCACTTCAACAGACCACCTCGGCGTCTGCGTCGGTGTCGTTCGCGGGCGGCCCGCTGGTCATCCCGGCCAGCTACGCCTCCACCGTGACCAGCCTCATCTCCTCGGCCGGTTTCAGCGATGTGGTCGTCTACGAGGCCGCCACCGTCGACGTGCGACACGTCCTCATCACCAGCCCCAAGGCCATCCTTTCCAACCTCTCCACCTACGCCGCCACCCTCACCGCCGTTCTCACCGATGCCGGTACTATGCTTCTCCTTCATGATGTTGGTGTAGAGCCTGACCATCAAGAGTGTTTGTTTTTTTTAGACCAGGTTTGGTGAGTGGCACGCACTTTGTGTCGGTGAGCCAGGCGCAGTCGTCGACGGGTGTCGTCGCTGGGCGAGAGCAGCTGCTACACGATGTTCGCCGAACCGCACTACGACTTTTGACGCCACCGCGCCGCCGTACCTCACCTCCGTCCAAAACTTCGTCAACAGTGGCGGCAACTTCTTCGCCCAGTGCGCTGGTACTCTTCACCTTCCGTCGAAGTTTTTGTCTTCGTCTAACCAATCCAATGACGTCGTCACTTCATTTCTGCAGCGATCAACAGCTACGAGAACCGGGCCGTGGGCGGTGGGTTCATGAGCCAGTACGGCGTGGCGTCGGCCACCTCGACGTCCAACCAGAACCTGGTATTCCCCTACCCCGACCTGCCCTTCTCGCAGGTCATCGGCTCCATCGACGGCAACGTGGCCGGCGTCACCTCCGAGTTCTCCCTCCTCGCGCCCCTGGGCTTCCTCAGCTCCTACCCCGCCACCGAGGCCAGGTACCATTGCCCCCACCACTCCACATTCATATGTCGACTGCGTCGCTAACCGGTCGACAGTTGGTGGCAGCCCAACGCCTACCCGCACGTGCACAACAACCAATCGTCGTCGGCCACGGGGACGGGCGCCAAGACCTACATTTCGAGCGCGACCAAGGTGACAGATGACATCACGGGCGGCATGGTGTTCTTCATGGGCTCGCACGAGTACACGAGCGCCTCGCGGCTCATGGTCAACGGCCGCCGCATGTTCTTGAACGCCTACCTGACCCCCGCCAACCGGCCGTCGACGTGCGGCTTCGAGTTCTGTCCGTCGGGCGAGACGTGCACGGCCGGCCCGTGCCAGTCGTGCCTGTGCGTCAACAACCAGAAGGTCATCACCAACGCCACCTGCTGCACCAACGGCGTGCCGGTGACGTGCCCCTCGGCCACGCCCACGACCTCGCCCACGCCTTCGATCTTGGTCACGCCCAGCCCCACCGCCACGCCGACGCCTTCGGTCACAGCGACCCCGTCGATCTCGCTCTCGCCCACCCCGTCAGTCACGCCGACGCCTTCCGTCACTGCGACGCCCTCGATCTCGCTCACGCCGACCCCTTCCGCCACGCCCTCCTTGACGCCGACGCCCTCGCTCTCGCTCACGCCGACGCCATCCGTCACCCCCACTCCTTCGCCGAGCCAGACGCCATCCGCTTCTCCGAGCGAGTCGCCCTCATCTTCGCCGAGCGCAACCCCGTCCAACTCGCCCAGCAACTCGCCATCGCCCTCAGCGTCCCCAAGGGGTGACGCCCAGAGTCACTCCAACCCAGTCGCCCTCGTCATCGCCCTCGACCACCCCCTCGCCGTCGAACTGGCCCAGCGCGTCGCTGTCGGCTTCGCCCTCGGCCACTCCCACGTCGTCTGCCTCTCCGAGCCGGTCGCCCGCCTCATCGTCGCCCAGCCCCGTGCCCTCAGTCATCGCCAGCCCCTCGGCTTCGTCCGTGCCGACGCTGGCCAGCTCTCCGTCAGCTTCGAGCAACCTGTCGGCGTCGCCATCACCAACAGTGGCGAAGGCCGAGTCGGGAAATGGATCCGCCGCGATCGGTCTGGCGGCGGGCGTTGGAGGCGGTCTGGCCCTGCTGGCGGCCATCACGGCCTGCGCGGCGGGTCTGGGCATGGTGGCCTGGCGCCGCAGGAAAGCGCCGGGAGAGGAGGAGATCATACGCAACTTCGCGCCCTTCTTCGTCGAGGTGGGCAACAAGGGTGCCTCGCAGACCCTCACCACCGTAGACTCCAACCAGGCAGCCGCCGCAGCCGACGTATGATCTGAGCGCGCGACCGTCGAGCTTCTCCAGTATATTACAGCATCTTCTTTAGTATCAACCATTACTCGATCACTGCAGGATCTGCATTCACTGGAAGTGTGCAATGAATGGTGCAATAAATAGTTGAAGACCAGCGAGCGCATCAGGAGGCCGCTCCAGTCCACAACACGCTCGACTTCGCTGGCCTAGTGGGCCATCGACAGGGGGTCGTCATGGGAGAAGCATAAATATGGTCTTTAGGCTCTGTTGTATGGTTGTTGATTGTGGTTACTTGCAGGACAAAAATCAATCTTACAAGAAAAAAAGAAAGGCGCGAAGGAGATGCAGACGACGAGGACGGAAGCGTTGAGCTTGTATCGAGAGCTGCAGAGGTGCTCGCGCCAGTTCCCCTACGAGAAAGCGCGGAAGCAGCTGAGCCTCAACGTGCGGGAGTTGTTCTTGCTGCGCCGCGGCGTCACATCGAAATCGCAGATTCGATCGCTCTTGGACGAAGGACGACACGATTTGATTGTCATGAAGCGTTTCGCTCTTCTCGATCCCGAGGTGGTGTCCACCATCTTTAACTTTAACCCCTCCTCTTCCGATGCACCGCCAGCACAGGGGCAATAATAAATGAAGGAAAAAGAAGAAGTGGAGATACTGATTGATTTATGGAACAAGATGGAGCTGGGAGATGGAGCGTAGTCCTTACTGCCTGTGAGGAACCACGAAGTGCTCGAGCATCCAGTCGAGCACGCTCTCGACAACCTTTTCGTTCTTCTTCACGCCCTCCTTGAACTCGGCCATGGTGAGCGGCTTCTCCACGATGCCGTTGGCATAGTTATCGACCATGCAGATCATTGCAGACTTCATGCCCTGCTCGCACAGCAGCGTCACCTCGTGGGCAGCGGTCATCGCCACCTGAAACAGAAATCACGCATCAATCGTTTGCGTGAGAGAGAGAATGATGAAGAGACTTGCGCGACACAAGCGGTACCACTTCTCCCCACTGGGCAATGACGCGGATCTCAGCCTTGGTCTCCATCCTGGGACCCGACGTCTGCACGTAGGTGCCGCCGACGTGGAGGGGAACGGAACCATCGGCGTTCTTGCTGTTGATAACTTCGATGACCTCCTGTCTGAACCCAGCGTCGATGTTGGCGACAATGTGAGCACGGCCATCATCGTAGAACGAGACCTGGTTGAAGAGGTTGAAGAAGTCGTCGGGAATGACAACAGAACCGAGGCCGATCTCCTTCTTCAAAGAGCCGGTGCTGCCGAACGAAAGCACTTTCTACACGGTGGGCAAGAGGGTCAGAGCCTGCCCGAAGTGCTTATCAGCAATATCAGATCAATAGAGACGTACCTCTACTCCACTTTGCTTGAAGCCGGCGATGATGGCGCGGAAGTTGATGAGATGCGGCGGGGTGTACTCCTTTGCGGGGTCCGCGTGGTGGCGCTGGCAAAAGATGAAGCCATCGCCGAAGTGAAGATTAACATCGCCGTGTTCCGTGGAGATGACCCTCTTTTCCAGAGTGGCGAAGTAGGAGCTGTTGAGAAGGCTGGTGCCGCCGATGATGCCGAGGGGAGAAGCAGACATGTTGTAGAGAAAGACTGGAAAATGAATGCAGAAAGAGGGATTCAATCAGATCAGATGGATGTAATCGATTGAATTTGCCTTTGCTTTGTCTTGCCGTCCGCTATTTATTCGGCTCCCTAGCGACAAAGCTCCACAGAACAGCCAACAGCCGCATTCCTTCCAGTTTCGGCGACACACGACACACCCCGCAATACGTGGGACGTGACGATGTTCACGCGCTACAGTCCACAGGGTTGGTGCCGTAAACGCGCCGGAGAGTCACCGTTCAAGCTGTAGTCGTATTCTGTGTTTTTACAAGAGCGTAATGGTACAGGAAAAGTGGTGGAGGCGGCACGATCGTCATCAGGTCTGGCTGTGGCTGACTTCGTCGCTGGGCATGGATCGCGTTGTGTCGTCCGACGTCGAGTGTGAGGCCGACGAGAGGCGGCTTCGGGCGCGCGAGTACCAGATGGAGAACACGTTGGCGCGCTTGGCGTAGACGGTGAATATGAGCAGCAGGAGCGGCACGATCTCCACCACGATCACGAACACGATGGCCCCGACGACGTTCACGCTCTGGTCGATCGTGCCGTAGAGCAGGAAGCCGCACATGCACAGCAGCGCCAGCGTGCAGATCACCAGCACAATAGAAAACTGTCCACACACACATTCACACACTCACGTCTCAGCACACAACACACACTACACACGACGACACACGACACGGTGTTGCTGACGTGCAGCGCACCTTGATCATCTTCTTGCGCTTCATACTGGCGAGCTTCTTGCTCATGCTCTTGATGCTGGCGAGCATCCAGATCACGACCGACCCGTAGATGATGAAGGCGATGGCCAAGCACAGGGCGATGAAGATGATCACCGTCTGGTAGAAGATGGCCAGCCCTCGACGCGCGTCCTTCAGGTCCTGGTTCGGATCGCTCCCCGAAAGGAAGTAGTCCGTGCTGCACGACGTCTGTTGACCGCACACGCGCCACCGCACACGCACACACGCCACCGCACACGTATAGCTGGTGAGGGAAAGGTCGTTGATGTCGCGTTAAGAGAGAAAGGCCTGCGTACGTCGGTGGTGGAGGTGTTGGCCTGGAGGGTGATGAAGATGATGATGAGGGCCAGGAGGAAGAGGTAGATGAAGGCGTTGACGAAGAGGAACATGAGCTTCATCCGCTTGAGCATTGTCTTCCCGCCCGTCTTCAGCGTCCAATGCACCAGCTCCACCCTGTTGGTGGCAACACCACGTGTCCATGAGTTCATTGGCTCGCACGCACATAACCAACGGCCGATCACAGACATACGACCATATGACATGCAACACGACACACAACACGACACAACGCGACACATGTGAAGGGAGGGGGGCACGGTACCAGAAGAAGATGAGGAGGGTGTAGATGGAGAGGAAGAGGTAGACAGGCAGATCGCCCAGGATGACGTAGACCACCACGTTGGTGTCGTTCAACACGCCCGTCGGCAGCATCGCAAAGTAGATCACCCGCACTGCACACGCACACGATAGGGGACACATAGCACGACACGACACGACACGACACGCACAACCCACGACTCATTGAGTTAACACAGCGCGCATGTGACCGGGGAATACGGGGACGGCGCGCACGAATGAGGATGGCCTGGATGCAGAAGTGGATGATGCGGCCCATGGAGAAGAATGTCCACAGGACCGTCGCCACGGTCTTGCTGCCCAGGTCGTTCAGCTCCTGCGCGCGAAGCCCATAAGAATCAGGGCAATGCGAGTGTGTCGTGTGTGCCGCGAGTGTGTCGTGCGTGGCATGTGGGGTGTACGTGGTAGAAGAGGTAGAGCTGGTTGATGATGGCCAGGGAGTTGGGGAGGAGAAGGATGGCGTAGAGGGCCACCGAAAAGTAGTACAGCCCCACGGTCGTGTCGCTCTGGGTCTCGATGAACTTCTTGTCCTCCCACCCATTGAGTCTGAGACGCGCACAAACGCACATACCACGCCACGATATGTGAGGAATGTCGTTCGTTGCATTCCAATGATAAAGTTGTGGAGGGCCGAGTACCGTTGGATGGGGAAGAGGGTGGGGAGGGAGGAGGGCAGCGGGCGCGGGAGCATGCCGCACAGGGCCGTGCCGCCGTTGCGCAGCGTGATGGGCACGTTGAGGGGCGTCCACTCGGACAGATCCTCATTGCTGGTTGGTCAACAGTCCACCAACCACAATCATTTAAGATTTATACCGCAACAACAAATCAAACGCAAGGGGGTGGGCACCTCATGGCAAAGTCGTAGGTGGGGAAGTCTCCCAGCCCGACGTCGGCCCGCCAGGACAAGCACAGCGTGACGTTGCCCTGCAATGGAACACGAGCGTTGGTTTCCAAATATGTACGTGTGGTAAGATACATTTGGAAGGTGAGCTCTTCCATGGAAAAGGCGTACCTGGTCGCCGGACACGATGGAGGGGGTGGCCTCATCGCTCGTGAGGGCAACCTGCACTCCGTCACCAATCAAGCGTCCCACAACGACGTTGTTGGAATTCTAGCGCACACGGCACGACAAAAAGGAAACTTAGCTGCGCGAGGCCGAGATACGGGTCGTGTCGTGTGTGTTACCTCGATGATGTTGTATCCCTCGGGGAAGTTGGAAAGGGTCTTGACGAAGATGTTGGACACGAAGGTCTCCTCGGGCTGCCGGTAGAACTGCGTGACGGGTACGATCGACACCGAGACGTCCGCGCACTCAGGCTCGAACCTCAGGGCCTCGTCCCACATGATGTCCGCCACACCCGGTATCTGTTATATGACCCCCCTTCCGGTGAATACCCGCACACACCGCACACACTGCACACACCGCACACACCGCACACGCAAGAGCAGGGGCGTACGGTGAGTGAGAATTTTGCGGCGGAGCACGTGCGCGATGCGCCCACGATCGACGACCCTCCGGTATTCGCCGTACACACGTCCTACATGAGCGTTGCCACGACCACGGAATCAATTGCACATCAATCACCGCGTCTCTTGTGACACGACACGACGCGACGCGCGCGAAGGAGAGAAGAACGTACGGTGAATGAGGAGTCGCCGGACAGGCAGGAGCAGCTGAACTTGCCGAAGGTGTCGACGAGGCGGTTGTAGCGGCAGAACTGGTCCGACTTCTGGAGGAGGGCCAGGTAGGAGTACTGGCTCACCACCTCCTGGGTGTCGTAGTTGCTCGGCACAAACGCCTCCACCAGGCTCTTGTTCATCGGCTTCCACGCCCGCGTCTCCCACTTCAGATCCGTCCACACGCCTCCCGTGTGCCTTCAGCCACACGACACGCAACACAACACAACACGACACACGACACTTATCAGCTCCACACGTGGTGTGTGCGGTGGTGTGTGTGTGTGTGTGTGTGGTATGTGTGCTGTACCATTCGCCTTGGCGCCAGGAGTAGTAGGGGGTGGGCACGCCGCCGGCGGCGAGGCAGAGGGACTCGTTCTTGGGCGAGAGGAAGACGTCGCCCGGGTTGCCGATGCCGCCCCCCAGGTACGTGTACTGGGGCTCGAGGCAGCCCCACCCGAACCGCCCGCACTGGTCCCGGTCCGCCGCGGCCGTCACCCACTGGCCGGCGCCGTTGCCGTGGGCCGCGCACAGCTCGGGCGTGGTGATGAGGTAGTCCAGACACCCGATCCGCCCGCGCTTGGTCCACGCCGGGCACGACGGATAGAGGCCGTACGAGTCGGCCGTCAGCAGGAACGGAAACACGCACACTCCGCCACTGTTCATCATCATCGTCATCGTCATCAACATCATCGTCGTCATTGAATGGGCTGTTCGTGTCGTGTGTGTTGTGTGTGTTGTGCGTCGTGCGTACATGGGGTTGAAGGAGGTGTCGACGTAGGGGCTGACGAGCTCGACCTGGTCGTCGCAGAAGCCGGCCGCGTTGCAGTCGGTCTCGTTGGCGCAATCGCCGTAGCTGCAGGCGGCCGTGCACCACGGGGTGCTCGTGCACGACATCTGTTGTCGGAAGTGCGGTCAGCTGATCCGCAATTGTGCACGCACGCACGCACGCACGCACGCACACACGCACGCACACACACGCACGCACACGCACGCACACACGCACACACACATGCACTACCGCACACGCAGAGAGAGAGAGAGAGAGCGAACCTCATTGGTGACGTTGTGAGGGTAGCACCCGCCGGCGAGACACTCGGCCTCCGATTGGAGGTGGCCCTGCTCCCACTCGAGCGCGAAGTTCCTGGCGATGTCGCCCCCCCCCTCGGAGTCAGACGCCGGTGTCCCGCTTGGTCGTGCAGCTTTGATGTGTGGGGGGGAGGGCGTACCAGCTGGTGGTGTTGTCCCAAAACGTGCAACTGCTCCAGTCGCGGAGATTCCTGACCTTGCAGAACTGCCCCAACTCGTTCCACCTAACGACACACACGACACACACGGCACACGGCACACGACACGATTGTGGTTCATGATGTGAAGGAGCGTAGTAGTAGTAGTGGTGGTGGTAGGTGTAGAAGTACAGGCAGTCGGCGTCGTTGCCGTAGTAATAGCGGCACCACGCGGGGTCCTTGCAATCCGACTCAGTGCCGCGGGAGGTCCAGCAGAACTCCTCGCACACCGCCTTCACCTGCCCAAAATCACCGACCTGCCGTAGGGCACACCCACACATATATATAATAAATATATGGGTATGTAGGGATATAATAGTCCGATCCACAATTCCTCTTGAAAATTGTCAGAGGAATTGTGGATTACAATCGTTTTGGAGGGGCAGACGTACGTCGACCCGCATGGCGTCGCAGCCGGTAAGAGATACGTCGAGCAGGCAGCTGGAGAGGTCCTTGCCTTGCAGCGGGCACTCCTCCAGCATCTGGTTTCTGAAATAGTTTCGAAATGAAGTCGTTAACAATTTAGCTTCAATTCGCCTCGCATGCGGGAGTGTAACATGTGAATGGAATGTTAAAAGCAGGCGCACGTGGGGTGCGTCAACGTGGATGGGAGGTGGGGGGAGGACGTACGTGGAGGCGCCGAAGAGTACGTTGCAGTAGTCATGGTCGGCCCACACCAGGTTGTAGTCGCCTCTCACGTAGCAACCACCAAATCGGGACACGTGCTGCCGAGTCAAGGAGAATACGACACGCACATGACACACGCACGGTCGACACACGACACACGACATACGACACACGACACACGTCACACGTCACACGACCCACACACACACACACGCACCCACGACACGGCACGACACGCGCATGAGGGAGGAAGAGTAGGATATCTCCCAGCAGGAGTCGGGGTATTGGGCGGAGCAGCGGCCGCAGAAATTGGTGGCGCCCACCGACGCCGGGTCGGGCAGCGGCCGCTGGTTGCAGCTGTCCTCGCAATCGGTCTCCCTATAAAACAGAATCCATGAATTCCAAAAAGCACGACATGGTGGTGGTTACATGGTGTTTGGGGGGGCTGGAATGTGAGCTCACATTCCAAAAAGGCCGAGGGCGATCGTACCAGTCGGGGAAGATGCCGATGTCGAGCTGGCAGGCGGCCCAGTTGCAGCTCGACGAGTTCTCGCACTGCCCGGTGATGTTGTACCGATCGATTTCCGGCCCGCCCACGCACGTCGCTGTGCACGAGAAAAGGAATGTAAGATGCGTGGAGCTCAGAATAAGGTAAGAGGAGTGGAGAAAAGGTAAGTGGGGGGTGTGCGTACGGCCAGAAAGGTTTTCCTTAAATTTAGATAGGAACACGTCACCTGTCGATTCCTCGGCTGTGTATGCGGGTGTTGTGTATCGTGTATTGTGTTGTGTATTGTGTGTTAGTTGTTGGTGTCAGCAGTTCAACAATATGCACGTGCTTGCGATTGAGGGGGGGGGGTTTGGTCAACATACCGGTCAAGTTCCAGAGCGCGCGATAGTACTGTAGGTCAGTGGAGCCCATGTTCTCCACAACACACTGTATTGATCGAGCAAACACGATTGGAGGTGTGGAGTCATTAAAGGCGCGTCCCCATAGGCCATGATCACGGCTGCGCGTCGTACCTGGGCGATGAGGTCGTTCTGGGTGATGGTGTCGAGGGGGAACGTGCAGAGAGCATTCTGGCACGTGCCGTTGTGATAGCAGTCCACGTCGCTAAGGCAGGCCACAGAGCACCGGTGGTAGATCGAACACCGCTCGCCTGTCGACAGGCGAAAAAACAACACCAACCAAATCACAAGACCAGCGCCTCGCGATGATGAGGACCCAATCGGAGGGCCGTTGAACGAGATAAACCGTTGCAGGGGAACCGCACCAGTCGGGCAATTGCGGTCGGAATCGCAGTAGGACCCCAGGACCTGGGCGCGGCAGTCGAACCCGGGCTGACGCAGCTTGAGCGACACCCCCGACTGTTGATATCGACCACGCATCGCGAATTAGGTGTGTGCCGTGTGTGCTGTGTGTGCCGTGTGCGCCATGTTGCGTGTGTCGGTGAGCAAAGGGAGAGAAGGAGAGGAAGCGTACGTCGAAGAAGGGGGAGGCGCAGCTGCGCGTGGGGTCGTCGTCGTACTGCTTGAGGCGGGCGTAGTCGTCGAGTGCGAGGTACACGCAGCCGGCGCCCTCCGTGCAACCCACCTTGACGGCCTCCTTGTCGGCCGCATAGGTCGTCACCTCGTACGTCATCTCCTTCATCTCGCAATTGTCCGTCCACAGCTCACTGTGTGCGTGGTTGACAAGAAAACAATTAGTGTGATCACTGTTATGTGATCATTTGAATGATCAACCCCTTTTGATTGGTCCACGCGTTGATCGGAGGGTGAGCGTACAAGAAATTGCAGCACGGGTCGGTGGAGCTGTTGTAGGCAGGGTCGGTTGAGGTGCAACGTAGGGTGCGGCTGGTGACAGTGTCGCGGGCGCTGACGTGGACGTATTGGGAGTCGATGAGCGTGTGGCAGCCGAACCAGTTGTCGCTGTTGACGTAGCCGTTGGCCAGGTAGACCACCTCGTCAAAGTCGCCCTGCGAGCTGGCCTCGTCGAATAGCGCCGACATCGAATTGAGCTGCGCCGTCACGTTCGCGAAGCCCTCCTGCGTGCACGGCGGCACGTAGGACGTCGGCCTGATGATGCGATCCGTCACCAACTGATTGTTGTGTGTTGTGTGTGTGTGTTGGGATCACTATCAGTGCACCCAATCGCAAACGGGAATATAAAACGGTACCGTTTGATTGGCGTCCTGGATGCCGGTGAAGGAGACGTTGCAGGCCGAGAGGGGCTCTCGGTAGATGACCTGGAGCTGCCCGTGGATGCCCACCTGCGACACGAGCCGCCGCAGCGAAAACTTGCCCGGCACCGTCGTGAACTCGAGCCCCGGGATCCTGCATTGCCACGTCATCATGCCAGCCCAACCCAAGCCGCGCGTTGCTGCAGCGGCGGCGGGAAGGTGTCGTACGGTTCGGGCGCGGTCGAGGCCCACGATACGAGCGGGGAGTCGGGGGCCGGGGCGATGGGGTCCACGTTGGCGCATGTAGGGTTGGTCACCCCGTACGTGTCGCAGGTCCCGTCCACCTCGCACTCCACCACCACATTCACTGTATCACACCACCCGTGTTAGACCACACGCGGGCGTGTGTGCGGTTGTGCGTGTGCGTGATTGAGAAAGAGTGGAACTTACCAAAGGGGTAGAGGGGTTCGATGGGGATGGGTGCGCTCATGTCGTAGACGTGGAGGGTCCACGAGGAGTCGGTGTAGGCCCGCACGTTGAGGTAGATGGGCATGCCCGACGGGAAGGCCCGGCCCGTGTAGGACCCGCAGCAGAGCACGACGTACTCGGGCAGGCTGCCGTAGCGCACCGACGCCTTGAAGTAGCCGTTGGACGACGGGTGCGTGACGTTGTACCACCCGACGTAGAGGTCCACGTCGCCCGCCGACGGCACCACGGCCACCACCACGCTCCGGCACGCCGGCACCAGCACCTCGAACAGCATCTCCTCGCCCATCGCCGTCTGCCCGTGGAACTCGACCGATCCACCTGCTTGCCCGTGAGTGCGTGTGCGTGTGCGTGTGCGTGTCGTGCGCGATGGAGTGTGTGCGGTACCGGTGGTGAGGTTGAGGCACTGGTAGTCGGGACCGAGGGTGCAGGAGGTGGCGGGCGTGGAGGCGTTGCACACGCAGCCGGGACCGTCGGACGGTGGGTCGTAGCCGCAAGTCTGGAGGGCGAGCGAGCTCAGATAGACCGGCCCGTCGAAGAACACGTCCAGGAACTCCTGGTTGCGCACCACGCCCACCGCTGTGCCACGAGACGCACACAACGCAAACACATGACACACACGACACGCGCGCGCGTGCAATCGCCCACAAGTTAGCAGAAAGCGTGACAAGCGAAACGTTGCAGAGGGACCAATAGGGAACCAAAGCCATAAATAAAAATAAGAAATAATAACAAATAATAATGAGATAGGAAATGCCGGAAAGGAGCAAAGTAGGAGAAGAATGAAATGAAGGACGTGGGAAGGAGACGCCGGGAGGGAAGAAAGGGGGCATGGCCGTACTCGAGCCCGAGCGCTGGCTGTAGTGGTGGTCGGTGATGGAGGCGGCATCGACACCTCCACGCGGCGTCGTGGTGCACAGGGCCACCACGACGACCAGCACGAGAAGGTGGTCTATGGGTCGTACACCACCTCGGGGTGGTGCCCGCAACATGGAGGAAGCAAAAGAAGAAGTAAGAGGGCAAAGGGGGAGCGTAACAAGACGGGCAGCAAAGCGACGACGAGGAAGAAGACGAGATGTACTGGCGGTCGGAAAAAGGCGGTAATTCATTATCCCCCCCCAGCACCCAATCAACGTCGACCAACCGTTTTGGCGGGCACAACCGCAAAACAATCTGTAGTGGTTCGCTGCTGCCGCTACTCGCGGAAGGCCGCGATGATGTAGCCGATGATGACGGTCTGGACCATGGCCACCGCGCTAACGCCCGCCACCACGGCCTTCGCATTCTCGCTCAGTTCCATGCCCAGAGCTTGAGCTGCACATGAGCCACCCCCCCCCCCGGTCAGCCTGCTCAACGGAAACCGGCGCAGACGACGTCCACCACGCCGACCACACTTCCAAAAGAAGGAAGGGAAGATGAACGTACGGGCGACGTAGTAGGCAAGAAAGTAGGTGGGCACGGGCAAGAGGATCATGGCCACGGTGGCGTACATGAGCTTGGTGAACGCCGCCTTGTTGCCCTCCGGTCTGGTTGTTTGAAAAAAAAAAAAAAACGATAAAAGATGAAAAGAGCATTAATGGAAACGTTGCCATGACCTCAGCACAAGGCTGAAGGAGGAAAAGTACTTGAGGAGCAGCTGTGCCTTGGCCCGCACAGGGAGTGGTGGCGCGGCCGTCGCATTCTGATTTTCAGTATTTTTGTTTTTATTCACCTCCGCCCCCTTCGTGTTTTTGTTCTTCTCCTTCTTGTCAGTTCCACTCCCCTCCTTCCCTCCCCGCTGGCGTACGCCGGCACCTTCTTGTCCGCGTTTGCTCATCTTGTTTTAATTTCCAAAACGATCAATCACTCTTTTGATTTTGAGTGTGGGAAAAGAGATTTCTGACGAGTATTTCTTTTTATTATTTATATATTTTGCTAAATATAAAAGAAAGAGGAAGGGGTTGTGTGGGTGCTGTTGATGTTGTTCAGTAAAACCAAAAGAATCTGAGGTACACCACCAGGAGCAGGATGACAGCGACAATGATGGCTGGAGCCCACTTCCGCCAGAAGAGCTTGGTGTTGAGCCACTGGGAGCGCTTCTCGTAGAGTCGCGATTCGAACACCAACTGCTCTGACTTGCGCGTCACGGCTAGAGGAGGAGAAGAAGAGTGAGTGCACATGTTAGAGGTTGCAGCACAAGTGATGAATCATCTCGGCAGTAAAGGATCACGATCGCGCGGGTATATAGAAGCGTACTGTCGATCTTCTGTCCGCGAGAGAGGATTTCCTGAATGTTGCGCGTCATGACTTGATGCACCTCGGTGAGCTCCTTGGCCACTCGGTCCAGATTACGCTCAGACTTCGTGTCCAAGTAGAGCTTCTTCGTCTTTTGGATGAATGTGTCTGTACCACGACACACGCGACACACGACATGCACGCGCGCGCACGAAACGAGACGGAGACAATATGCCATACCGAAGCACGATCAGCCCACTCGCGTAGTGTTGCATTGCTACGAGAAAGCAAAGCGGCAAGGTGCGTACCAAACTTGATGAAGGCGTAGGGTCGTGTGGCACTGCGCACCTCAGCCCCGTACTGGATGTCGAACTCCTTCTTGATCTCGTCAATGAAAGCGTGTGCCAGCTTCTTAGGGTACGAGGAGTCGCACAGCGTCAAGTAGCACACGTCGTTCTCAATCTCATACCTTTGCAGGAAGATATCGATCTAAGCAATTTGCAGCCAGCATCAAGGAGGGAGGCCGAGCGTACAAGAAGTAGTATTTGCCGGCTTCGATGATCTGGCGTGGAGGCGAGTTCGGCTTGAGTGTTTTGAAGAGCTTCTTCGCCAGCTGAGTGAATTCATCAAGATCCTTGTTCTCTTCCGCCACGAGAATGAGGGGGTTGGAAACTCGTTGGATCCATGTCAGCTGTGGCATTATTCCGTTGTCCGATTTATATCGATTTTCTCTCCTTTCCGTGTCTTGTGCAGTGGCCCCTGCTCTTCTTGTTGTTGTGGCTGGTGGGTACTACACGTGTGATCCCACAGCAGCGTAATCTTGTGAATGGAAATGTATTTTCGATCGATTCGCGTAGCGCCAGCTGACGTAGCCTTTCTTTTTTTGACGTAAAAAAAGAATGCAGAAATAGAAATCACACCAGCGCATCAGGCCATCGTGTGGGCGAGCAGAGGCATCACCTCGTCGACCCGAACCTTGGCCCGCTCCATGCACTCCTTGAGCGTGCTGTCCGAGAGTGTCGTCCCGCCGGGCTTGAGCACGGAGCATATCTCCTTCTTGTCGTTGTAGATGATTGTGAAGGTGCTGCCTGCCAGGCTCTGACGGCACGACACACAACACAACACGACACGACGGCGTCAGACGCGTAAAGCATCACGCAGCGCTGTGATGGCGTGCGCACCTCTTCCTCAGCCGTAGGATCGGCCAGAACGTAGATCCTGCACGATTCGTGTCACGATTGCGACAGACACGAGTGAGCACAGGCTTCCACTACCAGACAACTCACACCATGATGACGATGAAAAAAGACACTGAAGAAGGTGTGGAGGGAGCCATACTCGTCGAAAATGGCAAAGGTGAGGGGGATGGGGAAGTGGCGGAGGCGGAGGCCAATGTTGGCCTCGCCCGTCGTCACGACCGTGAAGTTGTCGTCCTTGGACACCACGCGCGCTGCTGGCAGCCGAACTGTGCAGGCGAGGGAGCAACGTTGAGCACCGGCGGCGACGGGGAAAGGTGCCCATAAAAGAAGGCCTCCAGGGAGAGGAGCCAAGGGGGGAGGTACCGTTGGCGAGTGCCGAGAGGAGGGCGATGAGGCACGCATCGAACACGTTGCCGTCGTAGTCGAGGCAGTACATGTCCACGTACAGGTACCACACCATCGCCTTGCGCTCCTTGCTCTGTTCCTCCTTGTCTTCAATTCGCAGCACCGACTCGTCGACCAGATCAGTCCTGCGTTGTTTGTTTCGAAGAGGGGCGCGCGGGATTGAAGTTAATGTTGATGATGGTGATGACGTTAATGAGAAGAGAAGAAGAAAGTGTCATCACATGGGCATGAGCGTTAAACGTACGTTCTGACCAGGCGATTGAGGATGGTGGCGATGTACTGAGAGAGCTCCGACGGCTTGCCGGGCTTGAAGTTGGGCGAGCAGAGTGGCGTGAGCTCCACATTCACGTCTGCACCACCACCGTCGCCATGGTGCGGTGGCCGACGGTTGCGTTAGTCTGGGGTTCCACTGGTGCACACACCGAAGAGAGCTGCGTACAGATGTGAGAGCTGTGTGTGTCGTCTGTAGACTCACTGCCGGGCGTGGTGGGAGGGGCGAGACCGCATTCGGCCTTGACGCCCGCACTGACCGACGTGTTGCCGATCTTCACAAACGACGAACCGCACGCCGTCTTCACCGACCCTATGTCATGGTCGACAATCAAACAGTAATAAGAATAAGATATTATAGATATTAAAGGCAAATAACCAAGAAAAAACAACAACAAAAAAAAACAAAAAACAGCAAAATAGATGCTGCTCCGTGGAGGGGGAGGTGTACCTGCGGTGATGGTGGTCTTGCGGGCCTTGGACAGATTGCGGCCGTCGGGTCGGACGGAGTGCACCAAGAACTTGCGATAGAACTCCGCCGGGTGCAGCTTTCGAAACGCTTCGATCTCCATCCTTCCGCTTTGCTCACACAATTGACAATCTAATCTTTTATTTTGTTTTCCGTCTTTGTTCTCATTTCCAATTCAAAATAATTTCTCGGGATTTCTTTTCTTCTCACAAAAGCGAAAGAGGATGGAGATGGACATGGGCATGGAGGGCATGGGCCTGCAGCACAAGAAGCGACTGGCACAGGACCATATCGACTCTCTTCGGTCCGCCTTGCAGCGATTGTCCACAACCTTTCTTCCTCCGGACGCCCCCACCGATTCGCCCACACGTACGCAACGGCTTTATGATTTAGAAATAAATACATAATAAATAATTAAATATTTAACAACGTGCACCTCTTGTGTAGTGCACGCATACGGGGCTGTGAATGTGGAGAAGACGCGGCGAGAGGTCGACAAGAGCGTGGGCGAGCTGTGCAACATCTTGGAGTCCTACAAGGCCCTCTCGGCCGCCCGCCAGGAGAAGCTCCTGCCCCGCTACCTCAGCCTTTTGCGCGTATGCCTCTCCCTCCACCGCCTTCTTCATCCAACCCACGTCACACCACTCGCGCTACACGCGTGTGTGGTTGGTCGTATCGTTGGTCGTGTCGTTGGTGTGTCGTTGATCGTGTCTTTTTTTTAATCTCATAATCCCGTGTCGTGTGTTGCGTGTTGTGTCTTTTTTGTGATGTGTCGGCGTGGTGGGCTGGCACCAGGATCGAGCACAGCTGAGCGCGCAGGTGGAGCAGTTCAAAAAGTCGCTCGGGCATTCGCTGCGCATGGCGGAGAACCACCTGGCCAAGCGAGGCTCCAAGCTCACGGGCGAGGGCGAGGGCGGCCGCCAGCAGCTCTTCGTGAGGAACCTCCAGAGCGTCGCCGAAGCCCACGGCCTCCAGCTCTACGCCTGTACGCGCCCCTCTCCCCTGCGCCGACCAGCCAATTTTGTAGGCGCCTTTGAAAAGTGTTCTGATTTCTTCATGACCACCGTCGTGTGTCGTGTGTCGTGTGTCGTGTGTCGTGTGTCGTGTGTCGTGTGTCGTGTGTCGTGCGTCGTGCGTCGTGCGTCGTGTGCCGTGTGCCGTGTGTCGCTTGCAGTCGATCCGTCGGAGATGGGGATGGAGGTGGCCACGAAGACCCTGTCGGCCTCCATATCCGGACAACACTTCCTTGTCGACGTACACAACACACATTCGCATATGCCAGATTTTTTGTATGGGACGCTCACACACGGCGCGTGTATGTCCTCTTCCGCAGGTGCACGTCACGTTGCAGGGACACGTCGACAAGGTCAACGTCACCTTCACCAGCACGGCCGGTACGTGAACCTCACCACCCGCTCGCCTTTCAATTTGTATTGTTAGTTGGTCGCACTGTCATCACCACGCCGTGCACGGCGCAGGAGATCCGTCGGGGGAAGGGGAGCAGCCGCAATTCTCACGTCCGGAGGTCGACGAGGAGATCACCAAACTGCTCCGGTCGGTTCACACACTCTCGTTTCTTTTCTTTCCTTTTCTTTATTTGGTTATTTCTTATTGTTTGCTTCATCATCGGTGGCTTCTGCATGCATGGGGGGTATTATATTGTTGTGATGACATGATTGCTGACTGGAATGTGCACAATGTGTGCCGCACGCGGGCGATCATTGTTGGGGGCGCGCGCAGGGAGGGCGACCTGAAGCGGTTCGACGAGGTGGTGCGCCTCCTGAACGAGCTCGACGTCATCTACACGGAGAACCCCACCACAGACCTCAAGCAGGCCCTCTGGATCCTCGAAGACGACCTCTTCGAGCTCCATCGAAGAGAACGGTTGGCCCCACGCACGCGCACCACCGCACACGCCGCACACACTCACACCGCACCCGCATCACCGCACACCGTTGCGCGTGTGTCGAGCTAACAATTCTCGAGAGAGCAGAGAGATCACGGGCGGCGACGATGGGGCGCTGCTGCGGGACCGACACGGCGCCCCCATGTGGCAGCCCGAGGGGCTCTTCCTGCACTACCACGCCTCCCCGCGGCACCTCCTGCTCGACAAACTCTCCGGTGCCGATTCCCCTTCCTCCCCACAGCAGTCTTGTCGCCTTGTCGCCTTCTCACACTGCATGTGTGTCGTGTGTCGTGTGTGGTGTGTGTGTGTGTGTGTGTGTGTGTGTGTGTGTGTCGTGTGTGTGTCGTGTGTGTTGCAGGGAAACGCCTGGCGCACACGCACGGAGCGCTGGTGACGCTGCGGGAGGGCCGCACGCTGGTCAAGCTGCCCATGGCGTCGCACCTCCCCGGCCTCCCGCCCCTCGACGACCAGTCCCTCCCGCCCGGCCTCGCCATCGAACCCATCGAGATTGCCCTCGTACTCGTCTCACCCACTCCTTAGATTTTCCTCCTCTGTTATTGATTGGTCGGCGATCGTGCCGTGGACGTATCAGGACGGAGGCCGCATTCACTTCGATTTGCACCTGCGGCCGGCGGTGCCGATTCTCACCGACACCCTCCGGCGCATGCTGGACCTCGTGTGGGGACCTCACCCGCCCACCGACGGTGCACGCCACTCCAAAGGTGCACCCACTCTCCTCTTTGCCTCCGCGTGCACCACCGCCTCACCCGGTGCATATCGCGTGTGTCGTGTTTCCATTCCTGGTGGTCGCACGCCTACGCAGACCATCAGCCATTTGTGTCCCTCCAGACGCTGCTCTGTCCCTCGGTACCCAGCCCCCCCCCACCACTTATTTCCCTGCGTTTCAGAGGGGCTGGCCGTCATTCATTCATTCATTGCGTTCATTGCGTTCAGGCGGGAGCTCGGTTCGAGCATCACGGGGTGTCGTACGTGTACAGCGGGCAGGAGGAGCGAGGGACGGTGGTGCACCACATCCCCTTCACCCACCTCAACAGCTCCTCCCCCTTCTCCAGGTTCGTGAACCACCCACCAGCCACCCACCAGCCACCACCACCGGCCATCCGTGTGCCGTGTCAGCTTGAGGCCGCAAATCGCGATCAACTCACATATCTACAAATCCGAAACCGCACACACATCGTCGCACACGCACACAGCACCTGCGGCAACAGCTGGTGTTCAACGAACTCTTCACGAGCTGCTTCTCCGACCAGCGATCCGCAAACGCCGCCGGCAAGGGCGTGCCTGCCGCCCATGGACCCGAGGCCGTGCCCCAAGGTACCTTGCCTTTGTGGCCCGACGTCAGTTGATTAATGATGAATGATTGACCAATCAATGGTGGGTGGTTGCAGGGGACGACGCCATGGACTACACCTTCGACGGGGGCGAGGCGCCCATGGTGGAGGTGGCCAGCGCCGGCGACAGCCCCTACGCCCTTTCCGTGACGCTGCTCGACCCGGTCACGCAGAACCTCATCTGCCTGCAGCTGAGCGTCGAACTGGGCGGCACCATCCGCGCCATCCTCCACTCTTCTCTCCTCGGTACTCTCTCTCCTCTCGACCCTCAGCGGCTGCGACGTTGCGTTGTGGGGGGGGGGTGCTGTGCTGGGCCTCACCGTTATGCGCGTCCGTTGTTGAACAGAAAAGCAGCCGTTCTCGAGCAGCTACGTGGCGGAGCTGCTGAACAAGTCGCACTCCATCCCGCTCACCATCAAACACCTGCTGCAGGGCAAGTACGGGCTGGCCAAGCAGCAGCAACAGCAGCCCACCCAGTGACACGACGCCTCTCGGCTCGCGTGGCCAAATGGAAAACAAAAAGCAAAAACATATGTGTTGGCTGTCGTGTCGTGCGACACTGGCGTATGATGATCAAATGCGGGCCAAGGCGGAGGGCCGCACGAAGTAGCAGACGTGGTTGTCCATCTCCAGCCCCTGCTGCTGCTGCTGGCCCGCAGAGGGCATGCCCAGAAGCAGCGACGGCTCGGTGTCCCACGACGACACGCGCCCTGGCCGGGTGCGGTGGCGCGGTTAGAGCGCAGGCGCAGAACGCATTGCATTGAGGCGGTGCGGTGCGGGTAGATGTGGGTACCGGGCAGGACGATGGCGTCGAAGGGTTCGGGCGCGGAGAAGAGCGAGGGCCGCTCGAAGGTGATGGCGCGTGCGTAGATGCAGTCGTCCACGAGCAGCGACCTGATGACCTCCCGCACCGACTCGGCGCCCAGCAGCTCCATCTCCTCCACGATCGTTTGCTGATCGGTCACCATGTCGACAACACAAGTTAAGTTACCCATGGGCCTGGGGGGGGGGCGGAGAGAGGGGGTGGATGGATATATATCATCTACCTGGTAGATGCCCGGGTGGTGGAGGATGATGCCGTAGATGCGGCGGCGCAGGTTGGACAGGAACTGCTGGTTGATCGAACCGTCCAGCATCTTCCACGGCCTGATCACCTCCGTCGGCGTGGGCTCCCCTGCAAAGCGCAACGAAACGGGCGCGCGCACACAGCCAGCACGCGTTAGCAAGGTCGACGACCGCCGACTACGCTCGGGGGGGAGGAGGAGGAGGAGGTGATGACGGTAAAAGACAGAAAAAGGTACCGGCGGAGTTCATGAGGGCGATGTGCTCCTTGTTGGCCTTGGCGCCCCGCTTCTTCTTCTTTTTCGGGGCCTTCTCCGGCGTTCCCGAAGAAGCGGACGCGGCGGAGGCCTGATCGTCGGCGATGGCCATCGTCAGCATCGGATCATCGGTGTTGTCGTCGCCACCATTCCCCTCCATCGTCTCCGTTTCCTTTTCCTTGCCCTTGTCGCGTCTCGTGGGCGCCCTTGCAGCTGCCGCCGCCGCTGCTGCCGGCTCTGCCCTCGATGGTGGGGCCTGGACCTCCGCCGCGGTGGCGGCGGCGGCGGCGGCCGGTTGCGGGTTGTCGAGGGGCGGGAGGGGCGGCAGAATGTGGCCCTCCCCGCACGACGCCGAGGGCAGCGGCATCCACGACCACCGGTCCACCGACTCGTCGGCCACCCACAACCTGGTCGCCGCGTTCCACCCACCCCACCCACGTCAGTATACAACACGCTTTGCTCTGCCACTAGCCGCGCTCGTGTCGTTGTCGTTGTCATTACCGTTGTTCGTAGGCGGCCACCTCGACCACGTTCTCGAAGTTGAGGAGGTGGCGCAGGGCCTCTTCCTGGTCCGCGGCGCGCATCTCCTCCTGCCGGCGGTGCTCCTGTGCACCACCAGCCACCACCAGCCACCACACCACCAAAGCAAGCGATTGAGAGGGGGACGGGGAGGTTGGTTGGTTGGTTGGTTGGATTGCGGAGAGAGAGAGAGAGAGAGATGGAGCGTACGAGGAGGTCGGTGGCGGTGACGCCCGAGGTCTCCGATCGGGCGATGAAGCGGTAGAGGCTCTCGACGGCGGCGACGAGGGCGGGCGACGCCTCGGCCGCGCAGAGGTAGCCCAGCACGGGCTCCAGGCTGGGCCGCTTGCGCGCCGCCGCGGACGCCTCGCGGCCCTGCTGCCGATCCTCCTCCCCGGACCGGCCCGGCAGCAGCTCGTGGAGGCCCGGCGGCCGGTCCCTCTGCTGCCGCCCCTCCTCGTCTCCTCCTCCCGCTGCACCGCCGCTGGCGGCGATGGGTAAGACCGGCGCGAAGGCCCCCACGCACTGCTCCAGGTTGATGTCACCCCGCGTCTCGAGGCCGATCGCTGCATATTTACGGCAAAGTTAGCGCATTGCGTGTCGTGTGTGTCGTCTGGGTGTGTGTGTGGTGTGTGTGTGGTGTGTGTGTTATGTGCGTGCGTTGGTCGTGAAAAGAGTGAAGGTGGGGGGCGTACTCCAGGCAAATACATCGAGTTGGAGGTTGGCGGTGCGATAGGGACCGGAGAGTACGCGCTTCTTGCCCATGAGGTGCAGCACCACACCTCCGCGCCCCGAACGCTCCTCACCGCCCTCGGGCGCCAACGCCTCCGGCGGCAGGTCCGGCAGGTCCGGCACCGCACGCACCTGCACCCGGCACGTTTCGAACTAGGTAAGGCAACGAGACACGACACGACACGACACGAGTCCGGGTGTCCTGGAGGAGGAGGAGGAGGGAGGGGCGTACGGAGCCGTCGTGGAGGAGGGAGAGGAGGTGTGCGACGGATCCGCCGTTGGTCATGGGTCCGATGGTGAGGGCGCTGCCCTCCCGGATCTGCTGGGCGAACTCGCGTGCCTCCTCGCTGAGCGTGTTGAGCTTGTGCGATACGCACATCTTCTTGAACCTGCCCCATAGCCCCACCACCAGCCACCACCACCACATGTATGGGCATTGCTGACATTCCGGAGGGGTGGGGCGGGTCTGTGTACTTGTCGGAGAGCTGGAAGCGGACGCCCTCGCGGCCGCGCGCCTTGACGATGAGGCCGGCCTGCCGCAGCCGCTGCAGGGCCAGGTCCAGCTCGTCCTCCGTGAAGTAGGGGAACAGCCGCCACGCCCACTCCGCCACCTCCTCGCCCCGCGTGCCCATCAGCAGTATCATCTGCCCAGCCACCCATTGCGATCCATCATCAGCACCATCAGAACGCACGACGCACGACGCACACGACACACGACGCACACGACACATGACACAGAGAAACACGTGTCCAACAACTGCAGAGCCAGGCGGCATGTGGGGAGGGGGAGGGCAGGTGTGCACAGACCTTGTACATGTCCTCGGCGGCGGAAATGATGGGGGCCACGGGCGGGAGGGGAGCCGATTTGAACGGGGCCGCGATGAGGTACCGCTGCCCCACCTCCTCCACCGTCTCCGGCAGCGGCGTCTCCGACCGTCTGTGTATACAGGAGAACGAAAAAAGAAGTCAACGCGTTTGCGTTTGGGAGGTGCGGAGGGCGTGAGAGGTACGTGAGGGGCGCGGCGTCGCGGCGGTTGAGGTGATCGATGAGGATCTGCACGGCGGGCTCCAGGTGCTGGCCCTTGAGGAGCGAGTGGATGCGCTGCTTGCAGACCGAGGCCGGTTTGCTCATCAGCCGCCCGATGTGCACCCACAGCTCGTCCTCCGACGCCTCCCGCTCCTCCGTCCCGGCCTCCGCCTGCACTCAATGAGAGCCAGCAGCAGCAGCAGCAGCACGTGAAGCGTTATTCATATTCATGGATATCTAAATGTTTTAAATATGTTCACATGTGTCTAAATATATAAATATATTCACTATCTACGTGGGGTGTTGTGGAAAGGGAGGGACCGGGTACCCGGACGTGGACGAAGGTGCGGATGAGGGCGAGGTCCTCGTCGGGCAGCCAGTTGGTGCGCTGGGGCACGGCGGCAGCGCGGGCCGCCTCGTCCAGGGACTCGTCCTCGTCCTCGTCTTCGCGCCGCTCCATGTCCAGCCGCGGCAGGGCCGCCCGCTTGCGCTTCCTCCTCGACGTGTCCTGCCCCGATGAACAACAGAGTGAGTGAGTGAGTGTTGGTGAGGGGCGTCCTCAATCATCGTGAGGAGCGGTCAGTCGGTCATCGTACGATGGCGAAGCTGATGCGGGGGCGCCCTGAGTCGTCGACAAGGCCGGACCCGTCGTCGGTTGCGCTCTTCCGCTTGCGCCCCTTCCTGCTCCACCCCCCCCCCACCGGTACGTGTGTTAGGGTCTGCTTGGGGGCAAAATCACGAATACTATTTATAATTATTATCATCATCATCATTGTGAGATTGCTGGTTAGTGGGTACCGAGTGGTGGGGAGGCCCGAGGTGACGGTGCGCTTGCGGGTGGTGCGGGTGGCCGTGCGGCGCGTGAGGGTGTGCTGAGCGCGCTTCTTCATCTTGAGTTTGTAGTGGTTCATCACCTGCACCGTCGCTGCGTACCACCCGTCCATAGTGGTGCACCCGCCACGCCAAAAGGGGCGCGTTAGAAGAAGCAACAAGAAGATGAACAAGAGGAGGGAGGGGGGGAAAGGAATATAGGAATGCGTACGTATGTGGTACTGGGTGGCGAGGTAGGTGATCTCGGCTTTGGTGGGGGCGTGCGCGAATTCGTGCTGGTCGAGGACGGAGATCTGGGCGCGGTTCAGCGGCTTGAGGCTCGACCAGTTCGCCCTGGTGGAGGTGGGCACCACAGCGACACCACCCGGGTGCAGAGTTGCGCATATACCCAATGGGGGGGGGAGCGAATCTTGTGAGCAAGAGCTGGTGGGATTCCACATTCCTTCATTCCCGCGTGCTGCGCCACAGAGGGATTGAATGTGGTGGTTGGGGGGGGGTAATGTACCGGCGGGTGAGCTCGGGCAGGGTGCCGCCAAAGGGATCCTTGCCGCCGTTATTATTGGGACCACCGCCGCCGGTGCTGCCGCCGCCGCCTCCTCCCATCTCGTCCTCGTTGTCCTCCTCGAGCTTGGATTGGCTCTCCTCCCCGTTCTGGTGGTTTTTTGAGGTGGTCGTCGTGCAGGAGTAGGAGTAGGAGGAGTACCCGGGTCAACCAAGCCATCACCAAACGGGTCTAAGTAGGTTGCCCCGATATGCCGCGTGTGGCCGTAGTAAGGGAAAGGGAGGGCACCTCTTCGTCCTCGATGACGATGCGGGCGAGGGAGATGTATTCGAGCTCCGTCCAATACTTCATGATGTCGGCGAACGTGTTGAAGGTGTAGCGCCGCACCGTACCGCTACGCTCCGATATCCGGTCCTCGATCTCTCCGTGCCGCTCCAGGTGCATGGCCTCGTACGACGTCGAGTGCTACATTTACCAACGTGTGTCGTGTGTCGTGTTGCGCCGTGTGTCGTGTGTCGTGTGATCAGCGCCGCGAAGAGAAAAGATGAGCTCTCTGGCCGCATGCGCGGAGTCGTGACCCCAGTAAGGCAAGGGATGGGTACCTCCTCTTGGCAGCCGACGAGCTTGAGCTTCCGGAGCACGTCGAGGAGGTCGTTGAGCCGGCGCGAGAACACGCGCCGGTGGAACAGCGCCGACCTGAGTGCCGACACCACGACCACGACCACCACCAATGGATGAGCACACCCCCGGAAGGGCAACTGCATTCGTGCGTAGTGCATACACGTGCCCGAGGGCTTTGGGGGAGAATGAAGAAGGAAGAGGAGGAGGTACTTGATCGCGACGGGCAGCTGGCGGATGGTGAGGTCGTCGGCCAGGCAATCCTCGAGGCCCGGAATCTTCTGGGTTTGGCCGATCACCTGTAGGTAGAGCTTCACCGGCATCCTGCCATTT